AATTTTAGTGTCAAGTACTAATGAGTAAGTTTACTGGATAACCTTGAGACCAAAACCAACAAATCACTTTGCCATTCCATACAAAAGCAAACAAATTATTATTACGTAGGAAAACATCCAGTGAGTTTGGATCAAGCAATGTAAGCATCCACACCTTAAACACAACTTAACTCCTCACACGGAGAAGTCGGGCAACTAAGAGTGATACAATTCTATCAGTTTGGGCCCCCCTGTCTTTTTTCAACCAAGGCACCGTGGCACCTAAATTGTAAGACAAAATACCCACACAAAAACAGAACTTGATAATAATCAACTTTTCATTGATAATATCATGATGGAAACTCTCATGGGTCCAGCGTCACAAAAAAAGAGTACTAATTCAAACATTAAAAACTTTGTTAAAAAAAGTGCCGTTCCACCACTGAAACAAGTCTGAAATATAACGAGTATGTGCTTGTTAAAAAATGGGAAACAATATGTTGCACCCGTTCCAGTGCCATCAGTTTTCTTTTGAATTTTTCATGAGGGGGTTGTTGCAATGCAACACTCGAATATTGTGCAAAAAATCAAACAATTTGTTAAGATATTTAATGCTTACGACTGGAACTAAACTAAATGCATACTGGTGTTGGTGATATTGATGAAAACTGTCTATACTGGGAGTGGAAGAACTTCTAACTGCCCAACTGCTCACTCAGATCAAAGTTTCAACCTCCATCTCGTTTCTCTGGCTGGAAACCAGGTGAAAAAAGGTGGCGAACTTAACAGCACAATAGAGCAAGATCTGGAACAGACATTGGTGATCATGGTTCGCCACTCATTTCTCTGCCCTGATGCTCTAAAACAAAACCTATATATAATTCTGGTCTTCAACCATCGCCTGACTGTTCAAATTTTCTGAATACGTTATCCTTAGTCTACCTCTGCATCTCTTGCCCTCTATTTTTCTCTGAGAAAAAGACGATCTTGGCCTTTATGTCAATTCTAGTGTCCAAGAAACTGCATTTGCCTCTTCCAAATGGATTTTCTCGATCACCGTCTAATGTGGACTTCATTCAGTGAAGTTATATATTTACAGTGTTTAAAATTTTGGCCTGTACTGGATCCCGGTTTTGCTATCACTGGAATAGAATTATGTTGGAACTGGGGCTAACTGTGTTTAATAGATCTAAAGCTGGTACATTTTCTTTTTCCATTCAGTTGAAAATAAAAGCTTTGCTATGTTTTTCCTCCCCCCCCCCAAAAAAAAAACTTGAATTCTGCATAAATCGAGAGAATATTCATGCCAACACACCACTCACAAAAAGCAAAATAGTAGCCAAGCACACCTCATCCTCCAGTCACAACATGAGGGATGAAGAACAAAAGCAGTACATGGGACAGTATCAATACATCCATCTATCTATCTATCTATATATCCATCCATCCATCCATCCCTCCATCCATCCATCCATCCATCCATCCATCCATCCATCCATCTATCTATCTACCTACCTACCTACCTACCTATCTATCTATCTATCTATCTATCTATCTATCTATCTATCTATGCAGTGACACCTCATGCCCAGCAGGTTAAACCCTCTCACTGACCCCTCCTCCTCCTCCTTTTGGTCCGACTCGATTATGTGCATCCAAACTGAGACTGAGAGATACAACGCCTTCCTCTTCTTGCTGCTTCTCCAATCCCAATTCAGTCCATTCTCTTACAAGTGGCAGAGGGGAAAAAAGCAATCCCAAAATGTCCTTTGCAGTTGATATGACCCCTTTTTCAAACTTTTTTAGGTGTAGATATATCTATGAAGCAAAGAAAATCTTCCCCTCACTCACTACTTCTTGATTCTTCACATCAGCACTACAGATGAAGCCCAATGCATTATAATTCCATAATTTTCCAGCAGAAAGAGAAGAACATTTATTATTTGAGAGGTGGTAAAATAAAGGGGATCTATCAGTGGTGCCTTCCAACCACCAATGTGACATACAACAATGCAGTTATGAATAAAGTAATGTGAGTCTATCAGTAACATTATAGTAATCCATTGTCAGTGACAGCCTGTTTCGGATGTAACAGGAATCATCAAACGATACAGTAATGCTGTCCTGCAGAAAGCTATCTGCTGATGTTTCATCCCTCATTTAATACAGGAGTCACCATTTTCATGTTTGACTTCAAAATAATAAGGTTATGACAAACACAACAGGGATATGTAAGCATGAGACAAGTTTAAAAGGAAGCACATCGACAAAATGTAAGATCACTAAAACTTCAATTACAGGCTGGGGAAAACAGTAGGACTTATCACGAGTTCCCTAAATAAAACCAACATAAATGATAAAATACATCTATCACAAGCATCCCTGTGAATGCAGTTAAGTAACTTACTGGCAGATTACTGTTGAAAACTAAATATACACCCTCTAGGTCAACAGGTAGGCTCTGGTATTTACAATGTACAGGAATATATAGATGTTTCTACAACTCCACCAGCACAGTACAACATGCCCTTGTAACATTGAAGCCACGGCCCACTAGAGTTGATCCCTGTGCCAAATCCATCGCTTACAGGTGTGGTCGAAGCTATGAGACAACCACTGTGTCTCCAGAAGGCTATACCGAGCCATGCTGAGGAACAGAGGCTTGCCTCGTCTGGGGAGAGAAAGAAAAACAGGTAAGTTAGGCCTGCAGTCCACAGCGATTTAAGCTGTTTTGGAAAAAAATACTATTTAGTCACGACCAATTGGACTTAGGTCCAAACCAGCGAATCAAAACTGTCTGCCCCAGATTTGGGCAACACAGCTCAAATGTGAAGGGTGCTGACAAACGAGTTACTTCTCGGATTCGAGACCTATGGAAATAGATTCGTCACACTGATAGGTGAACTTTTTACAACTCATAAGTATAAAATAATAAAAGGCTTATTATACTTTAAAAATATTCAAATGAAGTTTTCTGATAATCTACAAATTTGACCCTAGTGTCCATTTTTGGCCATAATCTCCATTTCTGGACTGCAAGAAGTAACTCATTTTGTTGGCACGCATCACATATAGTAGCCTATCCCACCACTTCAAAACAGTTTCGTCTTGGGATGCTAGGGAGGCCAGGCACAGTGTATCCACTTCATTGGTTCCATTCCATCTCACCCTGTAAACACCATGGATGTAGATTCTATTGAGAGACTGATTTCTGTTGTAGGAAAAAAAGGCTCTTACTCTAAGAAGGCCTTTAAAAGTATTCTAATCAAGATTTAAAAATGAAAGCCTGGGAGGAAGAGTGCGAGGCTGTTGTGCCTGAGTGGTGGATACTTACTCAAGAAACAAGAAGAGTGAGCTTGTGATCAGAAAATCTAGCCTGCCAAAATGAAGTCTTAAAACAGTTTTGACTAAGAGTGCAACAAATTTAGCACAAACACCACTGCAACAAAACAGACAACCAAGTTTGATAAAAGTAAACTTGGATACACCTACCCAAAATTCAGAGACCTACACCTCAGATCTAGGATCACTGTAGGGGTCACAGTGGGGCTGGTGCAATGATTTACAGGAACAGGAAATAAGTAATCTTTCTCTCAAATTATGTCTTTTTCAACCAAATTCCCAAACTGCACGGAATCATTCCTGGTCTTGACAATGAGAGTGTAGCAGACCCCAGCACATAATTTTCCCAGATGAGCCCTTCGTTACCGATTTTTCTGAGAAGAAATAAGCATTTATCCAGAATTAATTTTTTAAAATGCAACCCCAACTTACTTTTCAACAGCCTGAAAGGAAAACTGAAAACATCCCTGGTAACTGGAAGATATTGTCGAATAGGGGTCTACTGAAATGACACTGATAACATTAGTTGAACGAGATGTCCTGTATATTCAGCTACGGGAAAACCTCAATGGCAGTCAGTCCCAATCGTGAAACCATTGAGTGATAAATTTCAAAACATGTAACAGGCGATTTGAACTCACTTGAGGTCTCGGTCTTCCTCCCCGTGTTCATCCAGGTAGACAGATCCCCAAGGCGTGGCACGGGGACCTCGAACGACGATCACAATGCTGGAGTTGACCAATAAAAACATGCCAGTGCCAGCCCCACAGTCAATGGAATGCTGGGGAAAATAAAATGAGAAATCAGTGTTATGCCTTGAGTATAGAAAAGCACAACAGTCAGCTGCTAGTAAAGATGGGTTGACTTTACTAGTCATTGTTATCTAAATGAGGCTTGCCAACTTTTTCAAAACCTACTCAAGGACATCTCAAACTATAACATCAGATTATGCAACAATGAATAAAATTACACCATGTGGGATTGGTTCTGGTAAGGGTAAAGCTAATTCTTCACTTTGCAGTCACACAGCCAGCAATACAAAATACCCCCATCTGGTCACCCAGCCAGGAGCGACTGCAACGGACCTCTCGGGCTCGGCCGGAACGGATAATTTTCACTGTGCCAGCACAGTGCTAAGCACAACCATTAGCATGGATCTGGGAACAGTCCAGGAAAATTCCTGAGAAATTAACTCCCACCATTTGTGTCTCAAAACTGTTATACTACACTCAAAGGAGTCCACTTAATATAAATTTTGATGAAATGATTTAAAGTTTGAAATGACTCTCTGAATAGCGTCAATTATTCCTTGTTGGGTTTAGCAGACCCCAGACGTGAACTTTACTTCTAAGGTGAATTTTCAATGGAGTAGGCTCTCCTTTTATGTCAGACCACGCCTCCCATCACTCCCCTTAATTATGTACTATGCAAATGTAAGTAAGTCTATAGTGCAGGAAAAGAACAAAAAATGCTTATGGAATAATCCTTTTTTATATGACAAGCAGCATGTCTTTCTTACCGCGACGCTTTCATACACCGAATTCTGTGAGCAGCAGCTCCCTCTGAAACAGACAAACTGGCCACAGACAAGGCATATGGCCGGGTCTTTTGGTGTGCCGTGGCATTCACCGCATCTTGCAGAGCGGAACATCTGGAAAATCTGATAATAGCGTTTCGGCAGCTTGATCAGACTCGGCCGTTGCCAGCTGGGGTTGATAAGCAGCACAGTCTGGCGAGGAAACAAGAAAATTTTTTAAAAAAGTTTTAATAAGATTTTTAAGGCACTTGCAACACAATTGGGTCATAAAAGTGCCAAAGATTAGGTGTTACAAGAGAGTAACAAACACAAAAAAGAACGAGGGGAGATAAAGAAAATAGATGTTTGATAGGAAAGAAGGAGCAAACCACACCAGAGCACCCTCCAACTACTCACATAGCAAAAAATGGCAAAACAAAAAAAAGTAACTACCTATATAACTTAACATCTGTGAGACCACATTGAGATAACATCAAGTACAGTTGCACCTGCTCTAATGGCCACCTGTATAAGACAATTGCCAGTACAAATGCCCACTTTCCATTTCCTCCCTTGTGTATAGTTTGCATTATTACATTATAATTAGGGGGTTTCTTGCTCGCCCGGCGAGTGGGGATTTCCTCTAAAATCCCGGTTTTTTCTCTTTCTCGGCTCATAACTTTATTATTTCTTAGCCTAGCATCATAAAACCAACATGAAACGAGAGGTCTATATGTGCTTTTTGTTGCCATGTTAGTTTCAATGGCGGGAGAAATGTGTAACATTATCGATTTTTGAGTTAAAACTACAAGGTTCGTTACGCGTTCTGCCGCAAAGCCTGGCACGCAAATTTTGACAAATTTAGAGTGCAGCGCGTTTCGGGCGGTTTATTCGAGCTGAATTTTCTATCGCTAATCGTTGTAAATAACCTTAGAAATCACGTGATTCCGTAGTAGAATTGGACGCTGAAGAGTTTGCAACCCACCCAGAGTTTGTACGACGCTTGTGTAAAAAATTATGGTAAAATATATATTTTATCTTCAAAATTCTTTTTTATTAACAATAGAAAACGCTCCCGGGGGACGTTATATTGATAGATAAATCATTTAGCTCTCTAGAAATGTCATTTTTGTTAAAAATGATTAAAAGTTTTGTAGAAGAAAATCGAACTTTACTACACTACCCTAGTTCACTTCGTAAGGTACAAAAAAAATCACCCTCATTGAGCTCTTCAGAAGAATGATATTATTATATAAATGATTGTTGCTCCTGCCAAGTTCAGTGGTTCAGAAGCCCATCTGTTACTTTGAACTTCTGTTGTGAAATGAAAGAACGGAATCTTGTTGTTGACTGAGAATATTGCTGGTCTGGTAATTGGTAATATGGCATGGTATCGTTGGGAGTTTACTTACTATGTACTTTGCCTATCTTTAGCAGCCTCTGTTACCGTTTATACTTATGGTGTCGAGGCGAGAAGCAAACATCTTTCTCTTGATTGTTATGTATGCTTATATTGTTTTTGTTCAATGTTTCTCCTACTGTTCCAGCAGTTGAAAACATCTCTGTGTTGTTGATTTATTATTGTTATTATTCTGCCTTTCCTGCCCTGCTTCTTCGTGTGTGTGTTTTTTTTAAGTTAATTAAATGTAGGTGGTTTTACACCCCCTTCCTGTCTGTTCGGACGAACCTGGGCTGAGAGAGATATTACATCACAGTGGAAAGACAGAGATACTATACTGTTAAAAAAACCCCCCAAAAAACCAACAACAACCGCATAATCAAATTGGCCACCGTGTATAATCGTACAGCACTGAATAATTGTTGATATAAATGAAGGAAAGAAAATACATTTTGAAATGTTAGTCATTGCTGTTTATTGATTATCAACAAAATTGAATTGATTTTGAACAATCAATTGGATGCTCCTATCTGTCCGTCCAAGGGCAGCCATTCATACTGGGTGTGGCCTCCTGCTGACTGGAGTACCGCTTGACATCTTCTGGGCATGGAGGTGATGAGACGACGAATGTTGGGGAGTGGTATTGCCCTCCACTCTTCATCCAAGGCGGTAAACAGTTCATCAGGAGTGGCAGGGGCGACAACTCTGTTCCGGAGACGTCTGTCCAAAGCATCCTTAATGTGTTCTATAGCGTTCATATTCGGTGAATTTGAAGGCCATGGGAGTGTCTGGATATTGTTTCTAACCAGAAAGTCTCTAGTCATCTACTCTGGCAGTAAGCGGTCTGGCATTGTCCTCCGGAAGATTGCCCCTGGTTGTTGAAGCAATGGAAGGGCATGTGGTAGGAGAACGTTGTTGATGTAGGCCTGGGCTGCCACATTACCTTGTACTCTCACCAGGTTGCTCCTGCGAGTGTGGCTGATTGCTACCCACACTATCACACTGCCACCACCATGTGATAAGGCCTGGGAGGTGCATCTAGTTGCGAACCTCTCATTTCGATGTCGGTAAACTCGACGTCGTCTGTCGTGTCGAGAGATGAGAAAATTGGATTCATCACCGAACCATACGTGCCACCAGTTCTGTAGCTTCCAGTTGACGTGCTGAGTGACCCATTGTTGTCGCTGTTGGCGATGCCGGTCCGTCAACAATGTTCTTAAACTTAAAGGTCGATATGCGTGGAGCCCTCTTTCTCGGAGTCGATTGCGTACTGTCTGGTCGGAAATTCTGATGACATTCCGAAGCGCTTGGGCCGTTAAAAAGGCAGGCACAAAACGATCCCGCAGGTGATGAAGCTGAATAAAGCGATCCTGGGCTCGAGTTGTTGCGCTTGGCTGTCCACTTTTCGGTTAATCGGCAGTGGAGTTGGACTGGTGAAACCTTGCAAAAATTCGGCTGATGGTAGACTTTGAAATGTGTGACAACATCAGTTAGACTTTCTCCGGCTTGCAAGCGTCCAATAGCCTGGTTTCACTCTTCTATCGTTAGTCGTAGCATCGCTGAACAGACAAACCATTTTTTCGGCCATTTTAGAGCCGTCCAGTGAATAAACTCACACGCCAAATTTCGTTCGACTACTCACAAAATTAGACAAGTTGTGAGCTTTTTAACACTCAATAATCACACAATTCAACAGTTTAGGCTGTGCCTACCTGTGACTGTGAGTAAACAATGAATTTTGTTGTGAAAAGTTCAAGATATGTGTGAAAAAAACTAGCATGCACAAAACCTCATCTTTACATATTTTATTATCACGAAAACACAAGCACTTGGTTAAGCTTTTCTTTTTTTTGAAGAGTATAGATAACAATTTTCTCCCCTCTTGGGAGTCAACACTAGATTTCCTTCTTATGAAAGCGAAGCTCTTAATTGCTATACCACAGACGCTGGTTCTCTTCCTCTGTATCCATCTGTTCTTTGGTTGTATGCTCTTTCATTGGATGCATCACTTTTTGCCGATGTAAAGAATGTATACTTTTGCTCAAGACTGTTGGCATTTGGGAATTAGATTCAAAATCACTAAAGTCAGGCACGAATAATTTAAATACATCAGGAGATGACACACGTCTGCGACACATCCATAATTCGGGTTAAGGGCTAAAGGTGATGAAGTATTGAAGAGATATCAGTCAGGGAATGACAATTTGTACGACCTATTCATGATTTTCAGTTTTCAGTGTTCGTGTTTTCCGTACCCAACTACATTCATTTTTTTGGGGTGAAATATGATTTTTTAAAAATAAAATGGATTTATTATTGCTTTTTTTAAAGTTCGTAAGATGCGCCTAGTCGTGCTGATTAAGAAAATATATACTGTTGTACACTTTTGACTTAAAACATTAATGTTATGTCACTTTTAAGTCAAAATCAGTTGCGCGTTTCGTCAATGGCGGCCATATTGGCGGCCATATTTGGTCACATGACTTTGCACATTACGTAATACAGTGTTTATCATGTAGGCAATTGCATAACCTTTCTGGAAATGTTTGATTATCATATGTTTAACAAGCAACTTTTTCTTTGAACTAAGGAAAACTGTTGCTAAGTTGTCTTTCTCATGCCTAATTTCGCACATTTTGGTGCCATCCTCTTGTCTATTTATGTAAGTAATTAATTATCCCCGAAAAATGCCCAAATTCACAACAACAAAAAACTTGCATAACTTTTCAACCGTTTATCCAATCTTCATGCAGTTTTGTTTTTGTTTTTCTCAGCTCCTTTAGCTCTATCTAGTGACATATATTTTGGTCAAATTAATCGTTTTTGTATTTTTTCGTGAAACCCCCTATTATAATGATACTGTGTATAACGACCTTTTATTAAGACCCTGGAGAGTTAAACTTTATCGCTAATTTTTTTTCTCCTTTGCTTTAAGAGGCAGGAGGAAAAGGAGAGACACCACCTTCAGTTTCATCATTCATTATTAACTTCTCCAAAGCTCTGGCAGATTCACTTGAATAAAACAACGATAGCTGAAAGTAACCCTACATTACGTCTTATTTTACCTGACTGACTGAAGTTTTCTACGACAAAATTGCAACAAAACTGCATGTCAAAGTGATGTGACCTACTGTCTTAATTGCTTAAAAAAACCCAGCAACCTTCATTTCTATAGCTCTATTGCTTATGAAAAGAAGCAACCTTTGTTACTTCAGCTCTGTTGCTTTAGAAAACACAACCTTGGTATCTTTAGCACCATTGCTTAAAAAAAGAACAAAACTTTTGTGTGTTTTTTTTTAGCTCTATCGCATAAGAAAAGAACCAACCTTTGAATCTTGTACATGGGAGTTGATTAAATCCGCAATGTGATTACACCAGCCTCGAACCAGTGTGTGCGGCTCATCAACAACCCACTGTACACATGACGTGCTGCTGGAAGTCTCGTCAACCCTGGTACCGGGCTGCCATAAATTCAAGTACGAAGCCAGCAAGAGAAACTCGCTTTGTCCCTGTAAATTAATAAGAATTAAAAAATAAATTACACATGTACTGATCCCAGAAGGACAATTTGGTTTACAATGGTATACATACATACATACATACATACATACATACACAAATACATACACAAATACAAATATTACACCAGTACAGAACAATTTACAACCATGCCATTGCCAGTCGCAACTGTGCAGCGCCCTGTATTTTGAGCTAGGGTTGTCGCGTCTTGCTCAAGGACACACGCCAGTGACCACCCATCTAAACCCTGTATCACCGATACTAGCTTGACATTACTTGAGTCTGAACTCACTGCTCACTGAGCCACTGAGTTTGAGTAAAAGAGAAGCACAGTGACACAATAATTGTCTTTTTATGTTAAGGAAAAAGCAAGACAAAAAGGTTTATACAACAGATGTGAGACCTACAAGTAGTGCCCTCCAACCACCCACCTGAGCTGACAAATAAGAAAGATCTGTGAAACAATTGCTGTAATAAATAAAAACAAAGCAAAATGATCTGACAAAAGAAAAAAAATAGGGCGGGCCGGCTTCATTTCAAAATGGTTGTTATCAAGTTACAAAATATGTTATCTATTTCCTTCATGTACATCCAGAAGTTCAGGTCTCACTTTATTTTGAGTCTCTGACAAATTTATGGGTCTTAAGAAGATACAATGCACAATCTGTGTCATGGTAGTTATTCTTAAATGTCTATATCTGAACTGGATGGTTTTGGCATTAAGTGGAGAGGTGTAGGTTAACACTCCAGAAGAACTTTGAAAGTTTTATGATGAAGTGGAATGGTTCGAGAGCAGGAAAGGAGGTGAAAGGAGAACATTTTAGAGAATGAAATGTTCTGCTGCTGTCACGTTTCAAAACTCGGGACCTATTGAATGAGAGGCAAACACCATAAACTCCAGACCACAAGAGCGCCCCTCCCCCCGGTCCTTGTTACTATCCCGAAAGCTCTAGAGAATAAAATTCTGAGCGTGTTCCCCAGCCAATACAGAGATGGGTTTGCAATTCAGGTAAAGGCCACAGTTTTCAACTGAGGTAAAAATACAATATGAAGGGCAGAATTTAAAAAAAAAAAAGGATGTGAGAAAAAAAACTGAATGGCTCATAGTACAAATCTACCCCCCCCCCCTCCCCACCCCCCAAAATATTTGCACACTACAGCAAAGAACAAAAGCAGTACCTCCAAAGTGGGGATTGTGGTGTCGAACAGATGCTGCTTGAGCAGACTGCAGACCCGCAAGAAAGGAAGACAAAACTCTTGTACTGTTTGCTCCACACTCTGAGGGGACCACACACTCTGACATATCTGTCGACAAAAAGTACGGTCATTTGTTTGTTTTAGTAAACAGAAACACATCGACACAATAATGGTCATTTGGCGCTGGGAAAAAGTAAGACAGACAGACAGAAAAAATAGATGGAAAGTTAAGAAATAGGACATGCCAGAGGCGCTTTCTAACCACCCGCAAGCCAAGAACGCATTCAATTCACACAGACACATTTTATGAGCAGGGTAACTCTTTACTTGGGAGATAATGGCATTCCGAAACTATTACTAACATCCCAAAAAAAAGTTCTACACTTCTACACCAGAAACATGACTGAGCCAAATGAGAAGTTCACTTTGAGCAAACTTCTACCTTAGACAAGGGAAATAGTTTGGAAGAGGGGATTTTAGGGTAAAGAAGGGATAAATACACGTTTAGAGGAGTATGAATATTGAGTTCTTAAGCTAATAACGAAAAGAGAAGGAACTAGTTCACAGTATGCAATTGCTGTCCATCAGAAGAAAAATTTATACCGGACAATGTGTTTACCAACTTCACATAATTCTTAACCCCTTCGCTGCCTAACCAGACACGGTTTCAGTTCATTTTTTTGTGAAACAGAAGTGCATTCCAGCCCTACATGAATTTCACTGTTTACAACATAATTTTCCATGGTTGATTTTTTATTATTGGCATTATTAAAAACCATTTCCAGCACTTTGACTCAAAGACCTGCTCCATTACCAAAGTTGCCAGCCTAGTAGTGAAGGCATTAATAGCCCAAACAATACTTGAACAATTTCTTTTTCTTTGTTCTACTTCTCAGACTACCTGCTGCTCAAAACCTTCTATGCCTGCAATATGACACTACAGAAACAATCTCTGAATCATAACAACTTGTCTCTGAAGTCTAGCTCAGCCTTTGGGAAAGAGTGATTTGCATACCATGTTGAATGTAGCTGAAAACAAAGCAACTTTTGTAAAAAATTTTTAGCGTCTATGCTAGAGTGACAGATTCCCCCCCCCCCCCCCTCCCGAATGTGCTCTTTTTGTAAACATGGAAAACCATGAATCTCACCAGCTTAGAGCAAAAATAATAAAGGAACTGAAGGCTTTTTGGAAATGCACTGATGAAAGAAAGGAAGAAAATTGTAAATAATTTTACAAAAGAAATAAACAGAAATAAAAAACAAGATCAAAAGCCTTAATTTGGACCTTCACAGACTGTTAATCAAAACCATTGCCAACACTCACAGCAGGGAGTTTGCATGAGCTGCTATCCTCCTCATAAAGAGTGGTTCGGGAAAGCCAATTAATCACCAGGCTCAGCAGACCTTCCATGGTAAACACTTGACTCTGAAAGATCATTAAAACAAATAGACATTATTATGTTGCTCATAAGTTTACTTAAGGTATTATTTCTCAAACAGTCCATTTTGACAAGGAAACATGTTGAGATCTAATTTACTAAATAAAATAATCCTAAATATACACAAGACAACAGAAAAAACCCACCCACTTCCACTTGAAAATTAATCATTATCACTGCCATTGCAAATGAAATTTATACTAACAAACAACCTAAGTGTGGAACATAACAAAAGAACTTGGTCTACCTGTCTTCCTTTCCTGCGCCACGCATCTCGCTCCTCGCTTGAGAACTTCAGACTCAGATACACCAAGGCTTGGACATACACCATGTTGTACAACATCTGAATTAAGAAGTCTAGATGTTCTGTTTGATAAAGAAAATAATATAACTATCTGAAAAACAGAATTTATGATACATTTGACAAAACATCGCTGTTGTTTTTTTTCTTTTCTTTAAAATTATGTGAATCTTGGGGTTCTCTTAGATAACAAAACTTGCTCATTTCACATATGGACTGACTTAATTCTTTTATTTTCAAGATAGGAACATTGCTCACATTTAGCAAGCTGTCTCTAGGATTGTCTCTATGACCAAAATCAACAAGTGATAAATACTATGCTCATCACTCAAGGACCCAAGAAATATCTTAACATGCTTAACAGAGTTAATAACTGTTGGAGATTTCTTTCTTCTCTCACGGAATCTGAGATTTTACATGAATAATGAATAGCATGAAACAAAATCTTTGAAAAAAAATCACCACATATAAATTGATGGCAAAATAAGAGCCACTCATATGGTTATAAGAAAGACTCATAGTATAACATTGAGGGGTTCAACAATAGGGTCAAGTAGCTACAGAATACTATATTTCTTTTTCATATGAACACTGTTCCTCATTGTGCTTTATCTTAAAAAAAAAAGAAGACATGTACATAAATTTTTAAATAGGAAGAACTCCTGTCCAGTGTTGGACTTCTAAAATGCAATATAATAGACTGATAAAAGCTCTTTGTGTCACATTAAATCTACAGCACTAAAGCGCCCTCTGAAAAGCATTGATTACTGCTGTGTAATAATTCTGCATGACACTATAACCCTTCATTCTTTACTTTTAATACAAAAAAATCCTTAAGTCATAAACATTACTTCTTTTTCAAGAATATGACGTACTTTAGATTTGTGACAAAGACAGCGTATCCATTTTTTCCCTCCTGTGAAAACAACTTTTCAGAACACATTGCCTCTGAGGGAGTTGGTGAAATTCTAGCCACTAACCATTGCAAATATTCTGTAGTTAAAGAAAGTGAGGGAGACTGCCATTCACATAATAAAACTATTGTCTCGATTATTCCTCATAAATGGTGTGATCAATCACAGGATTTTGCTTCTTAAGTCCTACTCGCATTTTGCAAGCAAACCTTATGATAGGGTTTGAACAGAAAGGTCTTCATTGTGACTTGTAAAAGATAGAACCTGAAGGGAAAACTACAACAATGAGCCAAACAAGTGCGCATGTCTAAAGAAAGTTAATTCCTACAACGTTTTTGTTGCTATATTACACTGTGGCTGATCGCTGTCCCGTGGGGGGGAAAAGGGACGGTTTCTTACGGTCGTCGATCAGTGTCCCATGGGGGCAAAGTGAATGTACCCTGACTCACTTGTGGTCCCTGAAATCTCTGTCCCTCAAAAAATTTTTCAACAAGAAAAGAAGATTCAAGCCTGCCAAATCTTGGAAACAATGACAGGTGAACCAAAAGCAGTTAGTTGTATCTTGTACAAGTGTATAAGTTCTGTGACAAATCTAGCAATGGGCAGCGAAACGTTCTTGTGATGAAAAAAAAAGCACCTATTTCTAGTGAACCTGGGTATAACTTCACATAGTAAGTCTTAGTATTCTTTGTAGAAATATAATACTGGTTCAGACAATTTAACACAAAATAGATTTGGTGGGGTAGAAAATCATCTCTTTGACCCCTGCTATAGTGCAGTCATTGGAACAGTAGTGCAGTTCAGAACTTTCTCATGGACATTTGATAAAAATAGAGTGGAATTAAGAAACATAGTTTCAAAGAGACATTCCAATAATTTTAGTGTCAAACACACATGGACCATTGAGCCATTTAAGCCTACTTTACTGGAGCAGTTAAAAACGGTTAAATTAAACTTTCAAAGACCACTTCAACTCAACTTTCGAGTCGATGTTTCATGCATTTCTATTTCTCTTAACGTTTACACCATTTTTTTAGATGATATATTTGATCCTGCTTTACAACGTGGTAAAAAATTTTAAAAATATTTTAGAAAATTTTAGAGTTGGCCCAATAGTGCCGGACACCATCGAAACGTTAGAGCAAAATTACACAACTTTTTATTAGAAGGTCAGAAACACAAACACTAAAAAACATATCACAAGCACACCACCATCTTACCAGGCTCCATAGCATGTGACAAGGTTAAAACAAACTGGACAAGGAGGCTCAAAGGGTCTTTCAACAGCAGGGGCACTTGTCTCTCAGAGACAGACACACTGGAGAATAGAATGTGGGTGGTTGGCGGGTGCTCTGGTGTGGTCTGCTTCTTCTTTCCTATCAAACATCTATCGTCCTTTTCTCCCCTTTTTCTTTTTTGTTTGTTACATTCTTGTAACACCTCTAACCTTCTGGCGCTCATATGACCTTATGCAGTTGCGAGCACCGTAAACCCTATTCTAAAACTAAAAAACTAAGGAGAATAGAACAGTCAAACCACTCGAAGCAATCAACTCCTGCCTGGACTTCTTAATTTTCCATTCTTAGTTTACCAGCATCTCTGGTAAAGCAGTTAGGCTCTTGACCATCCCATGCAGAAGATTAAATTCTATTTCTAAGTTAGGACCGTTTTTTTTTTTTGAGGGGGGGGGGGGGGTGTTGAGTATCTGTCTTTCTGTCAGAATGTTTTATCCGTCTCAACTCGGGTTCACCCCGACAAACACGATCAAAGCAGCTCGCGTTGATTTAAAAAGTGTGGACTGGGGCTTAAAATATTAACAGCTACTTCATTCCCTGTTGTACAGTAATATAATAAGCCAGCACATTTGATGCTGGAAGGACAAATGAGAAAGCAATAATGAATATGCACCCTGAGATGACAAAAGAATCCTATTAGCACCGCACACATCAGTACACATGCAACATGGAAGTAAAAGTAGACTGATGCACAAAGTCTTTAATTCTAAAAAAAATAATAACGACTATGAAAGTTGTATCATGATGGAAACCATACTTCAATAACACAATAATAATATACAAAGGCAGGTTTACATCTTCACAAATCATCCTCTCAATAACAGTTTCAACCTCTCCAGTACACAAAATTCAGCAATTATTCACTTTTAATATCTTTTGCATACTTTTCAATAGCAGCTATCATTCACTTTTTTATGACAAAAACTGAGGGAGAACACGTGTGAGCCTTGAGTAGGAACGGGCGGGAACAAACATGAAAATGAACAGGCGCTATGAGTATATTATATATCTTACCTGTCAGATTCACCACCACACTTCTTTCCTGTGATGTTAGACAGCAAATCTATGTAGGTACTGGACGACACCAACACCTTACTATGCAGGCTCAACACTTGGAAAAGAGGCACTGGAAAAAATAAACAATCAGTACAGAGTTCATGTTAAGTCAAAGTGCTTCGCTTTCGCTCTCTCCTCTCAATCCTCCCCTCTGTCCCTCTCTCGATAATAAACACACTGCAACAAACAAGCCTAAAATTCATGAATCTCCTCTCGATACACCCACACACACAAGCACCCACACACACACACACACAAAACGGTCTCTTTTTCTTTCCTATGGTGCCAAAAGTGGGGCAAAGAAGATCCAACTTTTAAATGCAGGCATGTTCAGTCACTTTCTGGGTAAAGACATCATAGCAATTATCATTATCACCCAAATCATGATCATACCACTGGAATCCTCTAAACCCTTGTACCAACCATGGAATGAAAACAACTATAACGTGGAGTCTAAAAAATTGTTTAAATCCCAAATTGAATAACATAGACAGCAATTATGTGGAGCTTATACACTGCACTTCACATCTCAACCACCTTGTGATCACATCCCTAAGCCCAATCCTTTATATAATGAAATCTGTGACAAAATGCCAGAAAAATATGACAACACAATGATCATACGACAGCTTTTAACTAAACTCACAAAAACAGTGTTTCTTGATGGCACTCGATGTAGGAGCGGACACAAGGTTACCTCCTCTTTGAAGTAGTTCAACTTCCAGATTTATCCTTGGGGGGGGGGGGGGGGGGGGGGGAGGAGGAAGAGAAAGGGTGTGACATCAATATGTGTAGTAAGATAGTAAGACTATTACAGAGGTTTACGAAAAAGGTTGAAGGCTTTTTAGTTTTAGTAAGAGTTTTACGGCACTTGCAACACAATAAGGTCATATAAGAGCCGAAGAATAGATTATGTGTTACAAGAGAGTTATATACACAAAAAAAGGAGGGGAGATAAGGACGACAGATGTTTGATAGAAAATAGGAGCAAACCACACCAGAGCACCCGCCAGCCACCGACATTGAAGGTTTATGTTTCAGAGAAAGAGCAAGGTATTAATACTAAGACCATTAAAGTGGCTTTTAAAAATAGTTGTGCTTTTATTTCCAAGAAAACAGGGAAGTTATTAACATTAAGACCACAACAAAGGCTTGGAAAAAAGTTGAACTTATATGTATACAATATGATTTATTACTAGCATACTGACAAAATGCTGTAAGTGAAGAAAACAAAAAAAAATTATGTGTAGATTTTTAAAATTTTGTGACGGTCTTAAGTTATGTGCATTTTTGTTTTAAGTACTCTGCATGCACACAAAAGATTTTATGCCAGAAGAGAAAAAAGAAAGTTGAGCATAACAACCTAAAATAATCTAAGGACAGTGTTCATCCCAACCAAAACCATAATTTCCCCTTTCTCAAAGATGTTCCCCCCGCCAACCCCCAAATACTTAAAGTGGGTGTCTTACGCACCAACCAACACAACCAAGATCATTTAAGAGGTAGGCAGGGCCAACCTGGGCTGAGAGGGATACATTGCCTCAGCAGAAAGATGGAGAGACTCCATAAAATTTCTCCCTGTATGAACCTCGAAAACAACGCAGCGCACGTAACCACCTCACTACAGACACCAGTACGTTTTGTTCTGTATTCCCTACCTCGTTAAAGAAGAGATGAAGAGAAGAACACTCTCTGTATTTGGCGAGCTGGAGAAAGCACGATATGACGGATAAGTAATGTTGGTGAGATCCTCCATGACTGTGCTCATGGCTTGAGTCTGACTCGAAAGGCTCTGGATGGGATACAAATAACACAGATTGAATTATAAACATCCTTTCATTTTACTCATTACATTGCAATCAATTCGATGAACTGGGCTCTAAGCTAAATATTTCATGGACGCGGGTATTTAGGGAGTATATTTGTCATGAGGAAAACTATCATCCTATTAAATAATAATATAGTGTAAAGGGCATAGAGCCTGCTTTCGAGCAGGGAGATGCGCTATACAAATGCCATTTATTATCATTTTTATTATTATTATTACTCTTGGAAAAAGTTTTAACCTAGGCAGAGCACTTGGTTCTGTACAGACATAACAGATTTGAGGAGGTGTGAAATGCTCACATCAATACACTTTAGATCAAATGTCCAAGTAACAAGTGTTCAAAATGCTCACAACAAATTTCAGACTATTTAGGAGGTGGTCTACTTCAACCCTGACTGTCAGGACCAATCCAGGTTGCGGGTGAAAAATTCCAAAGGACAGAAGTAGATGCTCAATGAGGTGTCGTGTATCTTGTCCATATGAGACTCAAACTCATGTTTTTTGCATGCAAGAACAGTGTAACTTCATATAAAGTAAATCCTTTTTGTACAAGTTCATAACATAATACAGAACTGCTTATAACATAAATCCTTTTTGCATTATGTTCAAGAGGAAAACTATCTGACAAATGATTACATTTGTTTTGCAATGATTGAAGGGAGCCAAAGGGGAGAAATCTGATCATAAATATCTGAAAATGCCATTCTTTCACGTCAGTGGTGAACATAATTCCATTCTTCCTGTTTTTGTTATATCTTGCCTCAAACTTGAAATTGTTAAATAAGAAGGAAAGCCGGCAGCAAAAGTAACAAGTATATTGAAATAGTAACTAACCCTTCCACCAAAGACAATGGGCAACTGGTTTTTACTTGTCAAGTAAAAGGAAGTCTAAGAGCTACAGGACTTCAGTCATTGAATCAGGCATTTATAGGGAGTGAGGGAAGGAGGGGAGAGAAAGGAAAGGAGGGGAGAGAGAGGGAAGGAGGGAGGGAGGGGGGATGTGAGAGAGAGAGAGAGAGAGAGAAAGAGAGAGAGAGACTTTCTCTGTCGTTGAGAAGTGTAGATAGATCTGGAAGATAAGTACACATGTACCACGGGCTCTTATAAAAACAAAAACAAAACAGCAATCTTCCAGCCACTTACCATGCCTAAACGAGGCTTGGACAGCATATCAGCAATGTCTTTCAACATCTGTTTGGGGTCTTTTGCACCAGCTTTCCCTTGTGTGGTGAGGCTTTCCTCTGGTACAATAGGGATGACCGCATTAGACAGCTGTCTGCACAGTGGACACCAGTACTCACGCTTATTCACAGCCAACACCTCTGCCTGACTCTGAGTCTAAAGGAAAAAAAAGGGGGAGGGGGGGGAGAAGAGAGGATCAGTTTTAGGTGAACATATCGACTTCAAATCACAACTCCCCTAGTAAAGAAAGGAAAGTGGTGATGATAATATACATAAGAAATCTTTGAACCCATTAAAACAAAGCCAGTTAAATAGAATAAGAACATAAGTAAGGATACAACGGAATTCACCCCCCCATGACATCATAACTCTACGCGCGGAGAGTTTGATCATAAACTCGCCTGCCCCTTTTGTAATCTTTTATGAATGCATGAATCATGAATTAAAAAGCATCCTAAACCTATTGACCAATTAAATATTGTGGTCAGATCACAATTACTCGAGCCATTTTTTCTTCCTTCGCATTTCAAGTTATTGGTCAAGTAAAAATGCCTATTGTTCCATGTTCAGTTCAGTATCCTCAATAGAGTAGGGTTTGGTTTTTTGGGGGGGTTTTTTGTGTTAGAAATCCAATTACTGAGACATTTTCACTATTTCCCAACCAGCCATCTGTGGTATAGCTGTTGGGTGCTTCGCTGTTGCAAACAGGGAACCTGAGTTCGATACCTGAGTGGGGAGATTTTTATTTAGTTTTAGTAGAGGTTTTACGGCGCTCGCAACTGCATAAGGTCAGATGAGCGCCAGAAGATTAGAGGAGTTACAAGAGAGTAACAAACATATAAAAGAACAAGGGGAGATAAGAACGATAGATTTTTGATAGGAAAGAAGAAGCAAACCACACCAGACCACCCGCCAATCACCCACAGATTTTTATTAAAATATCTTGGTCTTTCTGCTGGGATGTTGTATCCCTCTCAGTGAAGGAAGGCCCTGACAGGTAGGGTCAGAAGACTGCCTACTGAATGATCAAACCTGTATCTATAAAAAACCCTTAATTTAGAAGAAAACAATTTTTTAACTTTTCCTCAAGTCATAAGGTATAAAACCTTAAGTCAGGACAGTTATTTTCAGGGTTCTTAGAAAAACAAAAAACAAGTCTTAGACATAATTTATTGATATTGTCTCAGTCACCAAAATTTAGGAGGACAAAATTTAAGACCACCAATGGGGGAGAGGAAGGTCCTGTGGGAAGCTTAAGACTTCACAAAAATGTGTGTACCAGACCCTGTCCATATCAACTGTTTCAAAGGCAGATTCATTTAAAGGAATGCCTGCTACCTTCGAAAACCAGGAATAAATGGGGTAACTAATAATTATCCAATTAACGTTCCCATTACAATAAAAGATCATGGGTTTTTTTGGGTAAAAATATAAGTTATGATTTAGGCAAAAATACATTTCATTTCAAAGTACATTGATCCCATGAATTCTGATAATGATTAGGATCCAGAATGAATGAAAACAGAACTTTAACAATAATCACTAAACTGGTGAAAATGTAGTAGGAATCACGTATAAGATCAAGACAAAACAATATTTTCCTTTTTCCTTGTCTTTTATTTTCTGAAAGTATAACAATTACTATACCATGGTGACACAAATTTTACCTGACTAACAAATACCAGTTCCAAATCAGGACAAGGGACAAAAAAAAGGAAGAAAAAAGAAAGAAATGATATTTCTTTAGTTTCTGTCTTTTCATCAACGTGGGAGGAAAAAATATATTTCGTTACACAGTTGTTACTAACCGGCAAAGAGTCCATGTAAGACCTGTGGCAGTCCAGATGCAAATAGTGGCCACACGTCTGAGCCACCACACCTCCTTCCCAGCCAATACTGACCGACAGCTCACATGATTTCTGTGCAAAGTACATTTTTACAGATTAATACAATTCATAAGACAGTCTTTGATTACTCATAACTCAACATTCATTCTTTGACTATATTATTTCATTTATTCACAGTAAGAATTTTAAGACATTTGCAACACAAATAGGTTAGGTAAGTGCCTGCGATTAAAGATGTTACAAGACAGTAACAAACACAAAAATATAAGAGAAATAAGGATGATAGATGTTTGATAGGAAAGAAGGAGCAAACCACATCAGTACACCTGCCAACCATCTACAGACTATATTATCCAAACAAGAAATACAAAAGTAGACACAGAATTAGACTCACAAACTTGGAAAAGAAAACACCCTTAGTATGATGAAGCACAAACTTAATTAAACATGGAATGAATAATGGACTATCTGTGATTAACTTTGGCTTTTCTATGGTTGACTTCAGCTAAGACCTATTGTCAGTCCATTTGGTGATTGTCTCTTTTCAACTTTGTTATGCAACTGCTCATGCTTTTCATTCCAACACATGTAGAATGTTACATTTTTTCATTACCTAGGAGCAATTTTCCCCTGACAGGAGCTGAAATGGCCATTTTCCTTTTATGCTTCAAAAACCAAAAACAGCAAAACGACTAAATTATCAATTCGGCCTTTATTTTGACCATTTTTGATAATTGAAAGAAAAAAGTTATAAAAATGTATTTTGACTCTTTATTCCTGGAGAAGGTTTTCCCACAATACCGGAGCTCTCTTTTGGTACGAAACCTGAGAATGACAGACTTATCACTAACTTGGTCATTAAATCAAAACAAATGAACCTACTTTGACAGTTCTTCATCTGCTAAAAGAACTTCTGGTAAAAGACATCCATTTTCAACAACAGACGAAAATTAATATAACATTATCATTGTTGTAAGGAAAGTGTTAAAGTGATTCATCTAGATCATGATAACAACTCTTGTATAAAAGAAAATAAGTACTACAAAAAATTATACAACAAAAAAAAACACCTTACCTCCTCAAAATGTTTCTGCAGGATCTCAAATTTCTGCTTGTACACTTTTCCACAAGATGACTTCCGATATCTTTGGATTTGAGATTCTGATAGGCTCAGCGAGTGCTCTTGGTCTTTCCGGTGCCGATGACTCAAAACTGAAAATGGTGATGAGGACAATACATAACAGAAGAAAAAATGGCACACTGTCTGTGCGTCTTTTGTGTTTGTGGTGCAGTGGTTAGGTGTTTAGCCATTGCATGAAGGAGAATTGGGTTCAATTCACAAGAGAGGATAGTTTTTTTTATTTAGTATCCCTGTCTTTCTGCTGGAACAGTGTATCCCTCTCAACCTGGATTGGCTCTGACAGGCAGGGTTTGAAGCAGCACAAGGTCTCCCACATTATTAAAAAAGTGTAAATGGGAATGTAAAATTTCTACAATTATAACAAACTAGCTGGGCCCCCTTTCAATAAAAGGAATGATCGGTGCATTAACATCAACTGAAAGTCATTGGCCTACTATATTTACACTTCACTGGAATGTAGCAATAAATCTTGAGAGAAAAGTGACACATGTGTTTCCAAGTTGCCAAATATATAATAGATGAATAGGTTGATTCTCTATTCCTCTTTCGTGGTTGTACACTCTAGAATTTCAAAGGGTGTGGAATCAAGTGCGCATGGCTAGAGAACGGAAACCTCACTTATTTACAATGGCGTCTTAGAAGACGGACTTTCCCAAGACAAGATCTAAACGAAACTAATGAAAAACTGAAAATTAAACTACACTGACTTCAGGCTCCTCAATAAAACTGTGTACTCTTTAAATGATTCTGAACCACCAATAATTTTGTAAAATTCGAAAGTTAAGTGGTTCGGAAGTTTTAGGCAGCCAAAGTGACGAACTTTCAAAAATATAAAATGTATAGATACCCTGCCTGTCAGGTCCTTACTCCAGGCTGTGTGGCACACAGAAAAATATCTTTAGCAGAAAAATAGGGATAAATAGTTTTCACTCTGTAAATGTTAGTCTACAGATTTCATATATAAACTCAGCAGAGCAAACAACTTGGAGAGAGCTCATAAGAAAACCTGAAAAGCCATGACAAGTTAATGTACAAATGTTGAAAGTCTAAATGTCTCCATGGTATGACATGAGGAACTTCTAAATAATCATGCAGAAATTGTTTCAATCTAAGCACAGTTTGTTTGCTTTGTTTTAGTCATGGTTTTACAATGCTCGAATCTGCATAAGGTCACATGAGCGCCAGAAGATTAGAGGGGTTACAAGAGAGTAACAAACATAAAAAAGAAAGAGGGAAGATAAGGACAATAGGTGTTTGATAGGAAAGAAGAAGCAAACCACACCAGAGCACCTACCAACCACCCACATCTAAGCACAGTCAACTGCACCTCACCACAGGACAGGTTGCCCTTCCTGGTAGTAAAAAAAGCTTATCTATGTATCGTCCTGCGTGAGTGTGTGCGTGTGGGGGGGGGTGTTAGGTTTATTTTGTATTAAGTACAAAGCAGTGCAAATTCTTACCACTTGAAGCTTGGAGGAAAACAATCAGCCCAACTGGGCGGTCACCAGAAGATGGCGTTGTCTGACTGCATATGACACAGTCATACTCTTTGGCTGTTACCTTGCATTCTTCCTGCTGGTCACATTGTATCTCATCTCCTTCTGCCATTTCTATAATATGGAGACACACCACAAAATATGTGAAAATATAGAAAAAAAGTGTTGTACCCGTTTCAATAAAGATGGAAAAAAAAAATGTAACCATTTCTACTACTACTTCAGAAGAGATCAACTGAGACATAATCTTTACTATTGAACCTCTTCTCATTGATCTCTGAATGGACATCCCAGTCGCTAGTGTGAGGGCTGCTGTTTGACACAGGTCCCCGACGCCCCCATAGTTTTAGCTCTCTCTGCCTAGGGTTGGCCCAATATCTCTTTCTAAGTGCCTCGAGCATTGGGCAGGTTTGTAGCAGATGGCTCTCTGTTTAATTGCTGGTTCTACGCTGACACCACTATTATTCAAACAAAACTTTTTTAAGTCTTTAGAATAGATAAAGCAGTGTACACATTGAAATGCAACTGGTACAAATAAAAATGGAGAAATGTCTTAGCATAATGAGCAAATTATCCATTCATTTAACCAATTACATCTTCAAAATATGAGTTACTACGCAGTGGAATCAGGCGCTCGTCAATTTTTTTAGCATAAAGAGTGATTTATATCATCTTAAAGCTAGTTCATTTGTCTTGCATTTGGTGAAAAGATAACCGTTTATCTTGAATAGAAGTCGAGATATTTGCAATTGAAGAAGGTGGGGATCGGCTGATATGAAAGGTAAAATTTGCGAGAAAATGGTCACCAAAGTTTGGTGACTTCCAAAGCTTGAGTGTCCTAGGAAACTGGAAATTTACATTTTTTGTGCCTGTAATGAACATTTTTCAGTAACATCCACCAAGAAATATTTCTTTTAAATGACATAAAAGGGGTTGAGGCAAAAAAAAGAAAATTATTTAAAAATTGCCCAGGGCCCATAAAAATGTCGGTTTCTTTGATTTCACCGTTTTGACAAGCGCCTTATTTCGCTATTCTGCCTCACATGTCTAACTCACGATCATGATATAGATGATTCTATAACCTTTTCAAAAACAAAGTGCAAATTCACAAGAGGTCATTTTTCTTTTTAAAAGGAAACAGTGATGAACCCTGCTTTGTTCCTTTGAGAAGACAGGTGAATATTTTTTGGAAACATTTTCCAGCTGAAAGGTTCAATGAGGAGTGATTTACATTTCTTAAAATAAAACTCTTGGCATTGTGCAAGCTTGTAATGTATGTTGATACAGAAAAAGAATGTTGAACCACCCAACATCTTCTAAGTGCCCTTTGAGAGTCTCTCCTACAGAAAAATCTAACCTCGACTGGGTTGACACAAATAAAATATGAAATGATATAGGTTTAACACCCTTATCAACATTTATTTGAATATTTAAGAGGCAGGACCTCCGAGTTTACATCCATCTCCAAAAAAACTGAGCCAAAATAGGACATTCTTGTAAAGTGCCTTTCTCCAAGGACACAAGGTTGGAGGACCAAGCTGTGGTTCAAGGCTCAAGCCCCTCGAACCCACAATCTCACAATAATGAGTCCAGTACTCTAATCTCTAGACTGTGAGTTGATAGGTCAAGTTACACTGTTGGTAGGCCATGCTCCAGGAGTTGTCCAGTACAAAATTTTGTATACAAGGGTGCCCATGTTATCAGCATTCATAGCAAATACGAAGAGGAGTATGTGGAAGATAAAGATGAAGAGGACAAGGGGGAGTAGGAGAAGGAAAAGAAGGAGGAGGAGGAGAAGCATACTAAAAAACACATCCATTCAAAAACTCACTGGAGTCTTCATCCATCGCTTGTTCCATGAATGTTTTTTGCTTGGATGCAAATTCAGCCATGAGCTTTTGCTGCCTGTTCCAAGCCTTTCTTCTCCTGTTCAGGAAAACAGTTATGTGAAAGAATCAGTTCAATAAAATCAATAGCAGATGGTGTCCTTGTAAGTTGTGTAAGCACAAAATGAAACAGATGAAAACAAACACACCACACCAGCAGTATAACATACTCCACTTCTTCGTCCGTATTGATACTATCCCAGTTTTCCTCTTGGAGCTTGCAAAACCTGAATGCATCCTTATGGTGCAAAATCCATTGAATAAAGGAAGCACTCAGACAGAACAAAACAAAAACTCATATTCATTATACATGGCTACATTTTGAGTCCAGCAGCTACCAGTTGAAATCAGAATTCTTAAACTCAGAATGAACATAAGAGCTGAAAATACTAAACATTTCAGTAACATACAGAGCGCAATGTCTATTTGAGTTTATGTGAATATACAAATAAAACACTGGAAATATATAAAGTTTTTAAAAACAGAAAATCAACTTACTTGCTGTCTTTTTCCGTATGAGACGGTCCTGCTCTCACTTTGGACATGCTAAGGGACCGACACGCTTCATCGATTACTCGAGACGCACTAGAGCTGGCAGCGTACAGATTGTCTAAGAAACTACCAACATACGCTGCTCCATCTCCAACCGTTGTCACTGAAGTCACAGGTGATGGTTTGTAACTGAAATGACATGCAAAAGCTGATCAGTCCTGCAAACATCCCCATAAGAGAGTTCAGTGGGGATCTAAGAGCCTGCAAGTAGAAAAAAGCACCAGAACAAGCCATCACTACCTGGGCCTTGGGACATAATTTGTGCATCACTAGGAAATTAGACAGTGTAACCATAGGCTTAAACAGCACCAGGACATGGATGGCTGGTGCTTCTAAAATAAATTATTGACGGTCAGGACAGTGTAACCTTTGGGACAAAATTTGTGCTTGGCCCTATTCAGATTGAGTAACAGAAAAATTAAAGCATTTAGTCTTATCAAAACTAATTGACTAATTGACAAAGTAAATATTATGGAAACGAGCTTGGTGCAAAAGAAAGGAGAAAGGAAGAGGCACCCAGGTGAAACCTTACCATGCAGTCCCTGAGAGCTTTGTATGTAGCTTGATAAGGACTGATATGAGGCTCTCTTTGATGTTGATTTTCTTGGAGGAGAATCGACCAGTTGAAACTCCTCGGCTCTCAAAACTCTTTACAGACGATCTGGCCTGTCCGAGGTTGTCAGTTGAATCTGCAGTCTCACCGTCGGACACTGAGGGAACGGAAACAATAGCCAGAGCTGGAATTTTCCCCATCTGAGCCGAGGTAACAGGACCTGCTGATGCTGTCGTAGAAAGAAAAAGAATTGGCACAGGACAGATCAGAATCAAGTGGCAGAAAAAAGGGTATGTGAGGCATGCTGAGTTATTTCTAGCACATTGTGAAGGGAGACATTGACCAGAAATCGACACATCAAAGTGCGCATATTTTCAACTTTTTCCTCAAGTTTAACTTGTCTTTTATCAGTTCGTAAAATTTATTTGACATATCTATCAAATGTCCACAGAGCCAAAATGAGAGAAGTGACTCAATTGGTCAGCATGCCTCACATGTCTTTGCTTAAAGAAACTCAGGCCTACAGAGCACCGTTTCCTTTTTTCACAGGTAAGAATGAAGATGTACCCACAAAATCCATGGTTGTTCTGATTGAGCCACTTTTTTCATCCCAAATGTATATTTTTATATTTTGGGAATTGATGGTCAGAAGATACATTTCTCTATGAATCTGATGAACACATGGGAGATTAAAATCCAAATCTAAAAAGGTTCTGGAACATTTTTTCCTTTTAACATTTCCTCAACTCTGTCTTGTCTGGAGCTCCAACTTTGGTGCTACTGTATGTCCAGTAAAGCATTTACTTGTAAGACCCATTTCAAATAAAACTCTGTTTTATTCATGTTGGGCCTATCCTGTGCAAGAAGAACTCCACCCCCAAACCCCAACAAAAACGCTGGAAGCATGGAACAAGAAATATTTGTTCATGTTAAATAAAAGCTTGGGAATACAGTAGTTTAATTAGATTTTACATAGAACACGTACAAAAGAAGAAAACAATAAATGTTCAGCTGAGTATGTTCATTTACACTGCCAACAATATGCTGCCTTGATGAACCACTTAAAAATATATACAATATCAAAAAATATTTATGAGCATCCACCCTCCATCTTCAGTTTCCTTTTTTTTCTTTGTTGCCCGCAAAAGGTTTAAATGATCTAAAATGTTATCATTTTTAATTTAAATTGCTAAAAGTTTGCTTGTTATTACTGGAGTCATTCTGGCCTACTTACAAATCATGGTGGAAGGCTGAATCTGAAACATCTCTTCCAGACTGGACATTTCCACATCTGTATCCACAGATGAAAAGCTCGCCTGGATTTCTTCCTCAGTTGTGGGCAACGAAACGATCACTTCATTGATGGTATCACAGGCATTGGCTCTGATATCTGCAGTGGTGTACCACGTGCTCAGCTCACTGTCATGCACCGAGAGATTCGCAGCTGATCTCTGATGGTGAAAGCAATAATGAGGAAACAAATGAATTTGCACCGACAAAGCAGTATTCTATGCAACAGTTTGTTTGTTTGAGTAAAAGTAAGTATATCGACACAATAACGGTCATTTATTGCTGGAAAAGAGTAAGACGGACAGACAGAGAGACAGAAGCAACAGGGAACGGAAAAAAAGAAGTAGGACCTATCAGCGATGTAATAATAATAACTGCATTTATATAACCCATACCCATGTTCTACGGCTTGCTCTATGTGCTTTACAACTATTATTACAAAAAAAACCCTGAACACTCAGAAACCTTACGAGCTTCACGAGATACATACTTGAACCACTAGCCTGCAGCACACCTTTTTGACTTGTCAAAACAAAAACAACGAAAATGGGGGAGAACTGCTCAGAGGTACGATTTAGCTGATGTTGAGCGATACGTGCTCGTTGATATGGAGCTATACCGGTACCCAAAAGCGGAGCCCAGTAACATTCCGAAGACTTTCCACTAGTTTTATGAATCACAACAATCAGAGCTTAGAAACATAAGCTTAGAAACAAGATACATTTACACTTATCATTCAGCTAATACACTGTAAGACTTCAGTACAGCTTCCCTTTTTTTGAAACAACTCATCTAAATTCATTAGTCTATTAAGAAGAGGGATGAGACTGAGACCAATTGAGGCACCTCATAAAACTCTGCAACACACTTGATTCTCAGTTGTGTGTTTTTAACATTTTTTTTTACATCCCGCAATGTTGAATGACAGCAATGATTTGATTAGTTTGACAATTTTGAGGGGACCAAACTTTGAGGTAACAGAAAATGCTTCTCATTCTGCCTAAAAACATACCCTGGTGGATGGAGAACTTGGGGCAAAATGAAGACACATCGCCAGCAAGTGCATGGTATAACACAAGATGTTCTCTGGCACGCTCTTCTCAAAAGCAACAGCCTGTGGAACAGTAGGACAGAACAGTAGGATAAATCGATTCAAATCAAGATATAGCTTTATCAACTACAGAAAATTACTGCGTTTGAGAATAATCAGTTGATGAAAATCTACATGGAGTGTAAACTTTAAAATTTTGCTGAGCAAAAAATTAAACCCTTTTAGTTCTCTTAGGAACAAGCCCAACGATGCAAAAGTGGATTGCTCATCTCCATATTTGTTTTTCAACACAAAAATAAAACTAGCCAGGCTGTGTATAAGGTGCTGAATAATAGCAGCTTTCAAGAAATTTTCCCAATTCTAAATTGAATTGGTCTGCTCCCTTCCTGAGGCAACTTATCACCTTGTGCTCTTCAGGTTTTCCAAAATGCTCAACTTTTAATAGGTCACCTAACAACCAGCATTGTATGGACAATGTTAAGCAAAAGGTGAGGCCAGCGCATAGCCCGAGCCCTAATTAAAAGGAAAGGTCATAGAAGGTGGTTAATTTAATCTTCTGGAGATCTTGGATCATATTGCTTGAGAATTGTGACTTGTACAAGGACCTTCCTGCAGTATAATAGAGAAGTACTTTACTGCTACAACAAGACAGCACTGTGCTAGAATGTGTATATTCATTTTAACACTCTCCTTGCAGAATGTACATATATACGTGAGTTAGGCTGCCTTACCATTTGTTGAGGAACACATGTCCTCCGCCTGCGTCAGTGATGATGACAGCAGCGATAAAAGTGAGGATGATATTCTGGCGATGTGTACCTCCAACAAGACATTAAGTTAGACCTAGGCCTACCACTGAAGCAGGATCAGCCAGCTCCGACTCTTTCGATCCAGACCTACTAATACAGTCTGTCCTTCAACTAATCTGCATTTACATTAGCATTGCTCATTCAGTTCTGTTTCCAATGACACCTAATCTATGCCAGTAGCATGTTAGTTGACTCCACAACCCTCCTTTTAAAACCATGTCGAAATGTTGTGTTCCCAGAGAATTGCACAGCAACCAACTCATCACATGCAGGGAATTTAACAGGAAAAGCTTGTGTACACAGGGAACATGTTAAGAACAAGACTGAATAAAAATGAATACAAGTTCAAAGATAAAAACCTTATGTAGAACTGTGAACAGGAATGCATGCAAAACTTTGCAGTTTAGCAAACGGTAGATGCCTCTGTACGCAGGGTTGATTCCTTCTTTTATCAAAAAAGGGGGCCAAGGAGCGGTCTTCTTCTTGTACTTTTTGTTGACACGCAAACTGATGATATGAAGGTGTTAAAAAAATTTTCTTTAAAATTGAGTACAAAGAGTAACACTGAAACATTACCACAAATCATACTCTAGAACTTCAAAAAGAAAATCATACATTTACTTAGTGAGAAGCAATAATGACAGCATATGTCCTATTTTTGGGGGGGTTTAAATAATGAAACTGAATTGAAAGAGAAAAAGCAATGTTTATTACACGACCGCTGTGTGATATTGAAAATTTCAGAACAATTCTTCATAAGGAGGAGCTTTGAAGAAAACTGAAAATAAAATACTCAAATTATTTTTTCCATCATCGCAACTGTGGGCTTCGAAGAGGAAGGATTACATGAGGAATTATTTCATGCCACTAGATCAAAGTAAATTGCCAAGTCTGAAAGGAAGCCTTGTATCTTGATGGTGGGGACAAAAACTTTAACTAGGTTCTCCCTTGCTGTCCCACACCCATGTGAACAAGTAAAAATAAATTTCAACACATCATGATATCATCAAGTCAAATTTTTTAAAACACATGACAGAAATCCAAGACAGAGTAGTTGATTGCTGTTTCAAAAGGCATCCAAATTACAATTCAGGCATAGACAAGCTAGAACAGTGACAATGGCAATCAATGTCCAGTCTTTTTGTTTTACCTGCCTTATGCAATATTTTAATTCACAAATGCCAGTCTTACATTTCCTTCATCATGTGCCTTAAAAGGTGTGTACGCGTGCGTGTGTATGTGCGCACGCGCGTGTTGGCGTGTATGTGTGTGTGTGTGTGTGTGGTGTATGTGTGTGTGTTGCGTGTTCTTACTACTTAATTAGTCATTACTACTAAAGCAGGACTGCACTTTTAACTTACAAGTCACAGTAACGATCCATAGCCGACTGCATGTCTCGACGATAGATGGCCCTTTGAGACACGTGTACGGGATCAAAATCATTTTCCCACACAGCCGCTGAAATACGCATGAAAGGAAAATCATTAGACCTGCCGTAATTACTTCTGCAACTAAAAATTGTGTAGCAAAATAAAGTAGTTGTCTCATTATCTTCTTCTACCTTTCCTCTCGTTAAACATTATCAATTCCAGTCCATTAAAAGTTTTGTGGCACTTGCAGCTGAATAACGTCATAAGAGTGCATTCTCCACAAACTGGTTGTTCAAACATTAGTTCACAGAACAAAAACTTTCCTGAGTATTATTGTAAAACGGTATATTAACACAGACTTTTGCTTTACATGGATTATACAGAGGACCATGTATCCCTCCAAAGACAGACTATTCATATTTGAAGACAGTCTTCAAAAACTGAATCTCAAGTCTCATTCTTTCCACTTCTAACCTGCCTTTGACATCACTCCTATTTCCAGAGAAATATGAGTACAGTCTTCATTTAAGCAAAAGGAATTCCTGTAAGAAGCCACCCGTGACGTTTGATATTACAGCAAAAAGTGATGCAGCACTGGCACAGTGGTTAGAGACGGTACCTGAGACCTACTGTGCTATTTTTTAGTTTAAGTAAGGCTTTATGACGCTTACACTTGCAACTGCATAAGGTCATATGGGCGCCAAGGGATGGATGTCAGCAGAGAAGTCCAAACGGGGAATCAGGCTTACTCTGCTCACCTCTCTAGCCGTAACAACACAAAGTCTGTTTCAACTATCAAGGCACCCCGGAAATAGCAGCTCACAAGAGTGTGACTAACATACAAAAAAAGTAGAGGAAAAATGACGACAGTAAGGATGAGGAAAGAAAAAGCAGCAGTTCCCCTTAAGTTGTTCCCGTACAGTATGAGCATGACATTGATAAATCAGCCCATCTACAATTCAACTGTGCATAAGAACATGTTAATATCCCCTTTGGGAATGGCCTCAAGACACTTCAGTCTGTAGCACTGCCGGGGGGGGGGGGGGGGGGGGGTATTTTAAGACTTCCATGGTGCTCAAAAGGCCCATGACAATGAAAATAACAGTTCTCTGTAATAAAATACTGCATTAGATTTTGAAAAAAAATTCAAATGAAAGTATCCCCCTCCTACACACACACACACACTCATGTCAGTATTCAATTACCTTTTGGTACATAAGTGCCCTGTTGCAGTCCACCAGCCTCAAAGTTGGGTGCTTTATATTCAGAGAGCTGGACAAAGAAAGTAAAGGACACAGTTAAATATGGTAGATAGAAACAAGTTATTCATAATTACTATTTTTTAATTAAAGTGAGAAAATATTTCTCACAAGTCAGAAGTAGTTTATACTCACGGTGTTAGAAATGCATTTCAATCAACTTAAACCACAAAGAGCAGACCCTCATCAAGAAAAATTTTATTGAACCTGTAATCCATATCAACTGTTCAGTTTAAGGACTCTGCTTTACGTCACTTTTCAAATTGGCCTGGGGTAAAGTCTTACACATAGCAGTTGATATCCAGGGTTTTAACAGCTGCTTTGCTGTGTGATTCTGTCTCAATGGCGTCCTGAAGGATCTTTACTTTATTTTCCATGCACATTTGAAAGTTTGGGAGATATGTTTAGGCTAAAGCCCAGAAGAAAGGAAAATATACATGTTTTGTAACTTAATTTTGGGTAACAGGCAAGCACTGTATGTCTATCGTCAGTCATATTTCAAACAGTGCTTGGAGGCCTATACAAGTGGGTTGGGTCATTTAGAAAAAGCATTTTGGGTCACAGCATAATGTTTCCAGCAATATTAGTTTAATTCATGACAGTAATAATAATATATCTGCCATAGAGTTCCAAGAAAGGAAAAAAGCGTGTTTGTGTGTGTGTGTGTATGTGTGCGCGTGTCTATGTATGTGAAAGCAGTGTGTGTGTGTGTGTGTGTGTATGAGCGTGCACATGTGTGGGAGTGTGTGTAGGGTGTGCATTTGAGAAAAAAAGAGAGAGAAAGAGAGAGGAAGGAAGCGAGAGAGAGAGACAGAGACAGAGAGAGAGAGTGAGAGAGAGAGAGAGAGAGAGAAAGAGAAAAAGAGAGAGAGAGAGAGAGAGAGAGAGAGAGAGAAAGAGAGAGACGGGGAGGGAGAGAGAGAGGGAGAGGAAGAGAGAGAGAGAGGGGGAGGGAGAGGGAGGGAGAGAGATGAGGAAACAGAGTTAGAGAGAAAAAAAGGGGGGGGGGAAGCAAGGGAGAGTGAGAGAGAGAAAAAAAAGAGAGAAAAGGCACGAAATCACAGTAATAACTCATATCAATTAAAATCAAAGGAAGGCTTTCATCCACAATGGGAATCCACATGCATTGGCACCCACCTCAATACCAAAATGCTCATCTGCCCACAGGTTGTGGGACACTCCTCACTAACATGAAAAAAAAAGTTTACAGCAATGACCCTGCGACAAAAGCGCATTGCTACCTACCTCTTTCAACGTCGGCTCAAACAGTTCCTTCGCCAAACCCCCGACTCCAGTCTTTTCTGGCATGAGATCCATTAATGCACTGTGCTGCCGGTCATTCATGCACAGCAAGGAAGACATCTCCTTGCGCATCAAGTCTGTTTCACTTACACCTGAGAGATCAGACAGAGAAAGACATGGCATATCTGGGACAAGAACAACAACAACAATAATAATAATAATAATAATGATAATAATGATAATAATAATAATACTAATGATGATGCCGTTGATTGATGACAATGATGGCAATTATGGTGATGATGAGATGATGAAGATAATGAAGATGATGATATAACCGTAATAATGAAATCAATTTAAATTCTAACAGCTCCACAAAACATTGCTAAAAAGTCAAGTTTTACAGCATTATCATCACAATTTACAACATTAAGGCCACACACTCTACTTCTAAGCACCAAAATCTACAATTAAGTTATCTTTTTTCTTCCAAAATTAGAAAAAGCTAGCGTCATTTTATTTGGAATTGCATGGTGGTGCACTTACCCTCCAAATTCTATGGCTTTATCTCGAATAGTTTTTGTGTTTTTAGCTTTTAAAGCCAAGAAATGAACATTTTGAGGAAAGGAGCAAAAACATCTCAAAGTTGCTTTAAAGCACTCAAAATGTTACAAACTTTATGGTACACTCTCTTTGAAACAGAGCTTTGGGAGTACTTCCATTCCATTTAGCACATCATTTTCAAAGGAAGTTTCTTAAAAACAAAAAAAACATTGGACCCAAACTGGCCCCCAAAAATCCAAGTGTGGCCTTAGGGAGGCAGATTTGGAACTGCCTGTAGTGCACTTCCTTAATGAGAGACTTGTCGTGCACTCAAAAATTGACAGTAGTTCCCAAAAGAAAAAATATGCAGTGCACTCAAACGTTAAAAATCCTAAAGGAGAAGTTAGTGGTGCCCTAATACATTGAAATTCCTAAAGGAGAAACTTGCGGAGCGCTCAAAAATTGAAAATAAAAACAACTCCAACACAGCAGAAAGCGTGAACTATTTTTTCTTAAGTTACCCAGATAAGTGTGCATCCCCAGCAAGGCACAGAAAAAGCTGAGCGCTCCCTCAACCATAGCCAGCTCGTGGTCAGCATCCATGGAGCTTCCAGTGTTTGAGGACTCAGGGGAGTAGGAAAGCCACTTCATAATCTGGTATCTGATCAAATAACAATATTATATGTGAGGCAGCGTGGTGGAATCAGGCTCTCGTCAAAATAATCCAAATGAAGAAACTTGCATTTTTCTGCAGGTTTGTGAATTTTTATCAAATTTTATTTTTCGGTTCAACACCTTTCATGCCCATTAAAGAACTCATTTCTGTGTGGATTTTTTCTGAAAAACGTTGATTAAAGGTACAATAAATGTTAATTTTCAGTTGCCACGGACTCTTAAGCTAAGGAAATAACTAATCTTCGGCGGCCTATTTTCTCACTAATTTTACCTCTGAAAATCGGTGACCCCCACCTCCTTCATTCGCAAATATCTCAACTTGTATTCAAGATAAATGGATATTTTTTCATCCAAATAAAGACAAGTGAACAAGCTTTAAGATGACATCAATAACTCTACATGCCCAAAAATTGACGACAGCCTGATTCCACCACGCTGCCTCACATAATGAGTATTATTGGTTTAGATAAGCAAAGGTTAAATGTCAGACCAAGACATTGGAGTTTTGGTCCTACTCGCAGGACATAGAAAAATCAGTACATTTCGGTTTTTATCCTGTGCAAGTTCAAATTCATGTTATAGTTATTTAGTGCTCATCCAATAAAACAGCACACACCCATCACCTTTGTAGACCATCCTTTATAAAATCCACTCATGTGTTCTTTTCATTACCATTGAGGGACTCATGCAGCAACTGTCTACAGTCTCATTAACTATTAACTCTTTGTGCATAGAAAGCTTTTACACATTTCTATGCAGCCAATTCTGTCATCCAGGTTTTCAGCACCACAAAGTTCCCTGTGACTCCGCTCCTATTTAACCTATTAGTATTAAATAAACAGCAAAATGAATCCTTTATGCAATTAAATACAGTTTGATCTTAGATAGAACGATTTGCTGCCGTTTTGTATATATATTCATAAATGTAAACGACAGACAGCTAAACTGGCGAGCCACATAAAGAGCATGTGGGCTTTTCTTAGAGCAAGCGTTTTGACATTAAATGTCATCAAATTAAATTTTCATCCACATTGCCTTCCTCACGACCAGGATCTGGGTATAGGAATTGAACAAACACTTTCTACCTTTCTCTATCCTGTGTAGACGTTTACTGCCTTTTTATCTGTTACCATTGTGAGATCAACGAGAAACAACTATTATTAATTCCTGATAGACTTAACAAATTTTAATGTTTGTGTAATAAAGGAGAAATGTATCTTTCTCAAAGACGTAGAGCTCAGCAGCAGAGTACATTTACAGTATTGCATAGTTCATTTGATACAAAAACACTGACCTGTCCAGTGTGGTTTCCACAAAGTAATCCGGGTCCAGCCCAGCAGCACACAACTGTTCATTAAAAAAAGGAGGGGCTTGTCAATGTCATTGTTTTAACTAATTTCATCCAGGCTGCAAATATCTTTGGAAGGAGTACTAGTCAAGGCTACGGGTATACTCATATTGAGTAGGCCTACTAGTCTGGGCTACGAGTATACTCATAACATGTACTAGTCTGGGCTACGAGTATACTCATAACATGTACTAGTCTGGGCTACGAGTATACTCATAACAAGTACTAAATCCATGCTATGAGACTACTCATAACGAGTACTAGTCCGGGCTACGAGTATACTCGTATTGAGTATTGAGTACTAGTCCAGGTTACAAGTATCCTCTTAACAAGTACTAGTCCATGCTATCGGATTACTTGTAACGAGTATTTTTACGGGTAGCAAGAATACTTGTAACGAGTATTAGTCAAGGCTGCCAGTATACTCAAAACAAGTATTTGTCTGGGTTAGGAGTATACTTGCACCAAACACTAGTTTGGGCTGGCTAGGTTTTCTCAGACAAGGGCTACTAGAGTTGGAGGGTCAAGGGTAAGCACTCCCTTTATGTTTGTGGAGCCGTGACGAGGACTCCTTCACAAAGGAGGTTATGACTGCAAAACGAGAGCAGCTTGGTGAAATTAGGGAGAGCAGGCTGCGTGACCCCATCAGACGCTACAACAACCAGTTGATAATGGAGACAATCAGCCTGCCCACACTGAAATGGACCCTTATAAAGACATGAGGAGGGGCGAAGAAGCATGGAGCATTCCGTCTTCCTAAGACCCCAGTTCTAGATTCAAGTAACTCAAGTAACTAGTCTGGGCTAGGAGTATACTCGCAACAAGTATTAATTTGGGCTAGGAGTACGCTTGTACGAAGTACTAGACTGGGCTAGCAATATACTCATACCAAGTTCCAGTCAGGGCTACAAGAAAACTCAAGACAACAGGTATAAAATCAATTCAATTGAATAGCTGTGCTTGTGGTTACCAAAATAAGCAAATGCCCCAATGCTAGTTCTAGCTGAATATTCATACATTTGTGAAGCATGCCGACAAAATGTGTTACTTCTTGTATTCGGGCCCTATGTAAATTTATACATCATGTTTAAAGGTGAAGTTTTTACAATTTATAAGCATGAAATAATAAAATGCATATTATGCTTAAAGAATATGGTATCAACATAAAATCTACAAATTTGGACCTAGTGTCGATTTTTGGCCAATGTCTCCATTTGAGGATTGCGAGAAGTATCTCATTTTGTCAGCATGCCTCACTTTTTCATGAATGGTGATTTGTTTCTTTTTGATAGAAGTAGAAGCTTGAAAAATATCTTGAAAACACACTTTCACAGCTGAAGATGTGGTACAGAATGGTGAAGCAAGTGTCGAACATTTGGTTATGGATGCAAATGCACCACAGCGCCTGCCAACCACCCATTTTCTACACTGAACAATTGAAGTGTTTACCTGAAGGAGATAGAGGTCAGCGTCTGCCATTGAATAACAGAAATGACACTGTATGTAAGTCATTGCTTGACCTTTGATCTGGACTCCGTTTCTGACCCACATCCCAGCATAGATTTGGGTTAAGCAGACCTGAAAATAATAAACAAATTTTTTGCGTGAGAAAATCAAATTCAACATGCCTACAATATTACTAAACAAAGATCTAAAGCGAAATGGAAGAAAATATGCCCATGCCCTTTTCATAGCAAAGCCAATTAAATGAAGAAACAGAACATTTAAATATGTGGCCTCTACTGATAAACATCTCCACTCGTGCATAGTGTAAACCTTGGAGAAATCCTCTTGAGAAGCTGGAGTTGGAGTAAACATTACCATCATTACCATCTATATGTCTTTTTAAGAGTCCGTTGATGATTGAGTCATTCAAAATTAGGTTATAAAACTATCAAAATTTAACGATAAAAGAAGGAGAGATAAGGAATATAGATGTTTGATAGGAACGAAGGAGCAAACCGCACGAGAGCATCCGCCAACCACCCATAAGCATCCATTCCAGTAAACTCTTACTCAAAATGCACTTGGTACATTGATAAGAACATTTGGCCAACAATCCACAAGTCTGGAATTCAGTTCGCACAGGAAGGAAAAAAATTTCCACTGAAATTTGTTTCAAAGACCTATAGTGTTGCCTTGGTGCTGGCTCACAATCCCATTTAGTCCATTAATAACTCAACTGCATTAAAAAAGGGGTAAAAACAAAAAGAATCACCACAACAAAATTACGAGAAGAGATAAGACAATTGCAATCTACCTGAATTTGCAACACATGCATCATGATTTTTTTCAAAGTGCTTTCATCTGGTAGCACACTGGCAACGTCAACTCCATGAACGTTTACAGCAGTCATAGTGAACATAGACAGGTACCGATGAAGTGGCAGATGAAATGTCAGCTGAGTAGAAACAGGCTGAAAGAAAAACAAAATGACGAACATGTTTTAACACTCAATACTAGAAATCAACAACTACTGTCAACTTTTTGTTAAAACCGAACAAAGTATAAGTAACATTTTGTTCATGATCATGCTGAAAATTATTTTTGCTAATGCTGTAGAATTTTCGCTTGTAGACTCTTTGCAGAAGCAGTGGGTACCACTTAGGAAATCTAAAAACATTACAGAACTGAACTGTATGGGATTGTCTCTACATTTACCAAAACATGACAGTACACCTTTCCTTTGAAATAGAATACAAGTTTTTGTTGTTGTTTTTTTGTTGTAAAGTGTTTTACGGTGCTCGCAACTGCATAAGGTCATATGAGCGCCTGGGACACACCTAATATTTTCAGTTGGTAGGAAATTTTGAATCTTGCCCGGGTGGCGGCTGAAGCCTACTCTTATCGATTTTAGACCACCAAGGGATCTTTAACGTGCGCAACTTGCACACGGGCCCTCCGAGATTTTTCGCCCTTGTCCGAGAAGGCTAGGTGTAGATCTTTCCTACCAGAAGATCAGGGGTGTGGCAGAAAGACAGCAGTAAGGTGGGGCCAAGGAGTAGCAGTAGAAAGGCTGCAGAAAGAGTCAGGAGCCCAGAGGAGGGGGCAAAGGTGAGGGGGTTTTGGGCAGAAAGTGGAAATGAAAGCAGACAACAGAACATTGCTAGAGAGCAGGAAAGGAGGTGAAAGGAGACAATTTTAGAGAAGAAAATTTTTTGGCCGCTACCCGGATTCGAACCCGGGACCTTTGAATGAGAGGCCAACACCTTAACCTCTAGGCCACGAGAGCCCCCAATACAAGTTTAAGACTTAAAAAAAAAAAAAAATTTCATACAGCTCTGTAGATATTGTTCATGCTGACATTAAAAGATTAAAAGAGGCCAAAACTGCCACAATAACAAATTTCAACGATATCCCAAATCCTTGAAGCCCATGTGGCAATGGTAAAGAGGAAAATAAAATGAAAACAGGAAGAAATAATGAGAAATATCAATCAATGCCGGCAACGTTCTTTAATCATTTCAGGTCTTCTGTATACAATAAAAATATAGATAGGAAGAAATAGTGAAAAATATTAATGAACGCTGACAATGTTCTAAAATAATTTCAGGTTTTCTGTCATCAACTGAAGACACTAAGAGCACAGGCTCACCTTCATGGAATCCTTAAAATTGATAGCTTCAAACCAGTCCTGTAGAGCCACTATTGTGGCCTTGATCATTTCCAGAACATAATGACAGGTGTCCTGAAAGAGTAAGATTTGTTTTTAGTTTTTAGTAAAAGTTCAATACACACACAATAAGTAGGTACCACAGACTGAAATTTCAAAGTCCTCTGATGTTATAGTTAACTGCACCACCTTATAGAGTTTATTATTCTGAACATTTTGATACCAAATTTATACATATAGCTTAATTTTTAACAAAGTTATGAACATCTGAGGTTGCAGAAAAATGCTTTTTCTTTTTATTGCGCAATGTCTGCATTTTGAGGTGTCATAACATTCTTAAATCTGAATGAACATTCACAAACACTTGTAAACACACACCTATGCACATAGAGAACAAGCCCAATTTTTTTCAGGGGTATCATATGACCAGAAGATGGAAATTTATAGATGTAAACATGGCTTTTGACCAAAATGGCAAGAAATATAAAATCACCACTCTGGACCACCGGCTTATCGGCTGCACGATGGGCCGCGCTGACGGGAAGGAGAAAGAATTAATACGAAACTGGGCCGATGGTGGTCCTGCTTGCGAGCTGACAGGGAGCGCCCGGTATTTATTTTCGTATAATGGCTGTGTTATTCTTGAAGAGGAATGAATGGGCTTTCGGTCTATATATTTCAATAGTCAGTCCGATCCCTAATTCTTAAAAAAAAACAGCACCGATAGTTTTCACACGCAAATCTCCTCTATTAATTCAAGGACAGTCTTTAGAGATATATCATCGGAAAGAGCGTTTTCTCATTGTGAAATATCGACGAATCAGATTGCAGTATTTAGTACCATACGCTCCCGTTTCTGTTCAACCGAGGTCACCCAAAAAATTGATGCACAAAACATGCGGTCCCTGCAGTGAAAACCTTGATAGTGTTGTCTTTTATCCCACAAGATTTTGCTTTCAAAAGAATTGTTGATTCAAATAAATAATCTCACTAAAAAGAGGAAAAGCTCCTCTTTCTTCTGATATATCAAGCGTCTGAGTGTATGCATGATCACCCGATGTCTTAGGAGGGTAAAAATATGGTTTTGGTCTCCGTGACAGTCGGGGGCGCACCGCCAGCTTGCAGTACCGACAATAAGGTCATATAAGTGCCAAAGATTAGAGATGTTGGGAGAGGGTACAAAACACAAAAAAGGAGGAGAGATAAGGATGACAGATGTTTGATAGGAAAGAAGGAGCAAACTACACTAGAGCATCCTCCAACCACTCATGTGAGATAAAAAGACGTGCAGTTCTAACACAATATTAATGGTGAAGAGCCAAGAAAACAATCATGAAACAATTAAGAAGTCAGTAGTAAGTCATTTTCATCATCTATTTAGACAAGTTAATGATTAGACACTATCAATTTACAAGCAAGCCACCACATAAGAGAGCCAGATACAAAGGCTCATAATAGGTAGACTTCTCAATGAGGTACAGTCGAATTGTCTAAAGTGCCTACCCATTGTCGGGTAGAAAAGTGGTCGTCTTACTTGTCATTATAATGTTAAAAAAATTTTTAAGCAAGGGGGAATTGGGAAGTGGCAGTCTGTACAGGCGATTGTCTTAGACAGCAGGCTGTTAAGGCATGTACGACTGTATTTTTGTTGGGGGGGGGGGGAGGGAGGGGATGTTACAGGTGCGAGTGCTTGTGATGGTTTTAGGCATAAGAGGGCGACACTGTGCAAACAGTGGCTTCGGTAGCCTAGTGGTTAGGCTACTGGACTCGTAATCGTGAGTTCAGGGGTTCGAGTCTCAGCTCCGTCCGACGTTGTGTCCTTAGAAAAGGCACTTTACATGAATTTCCCACTTGGCTCCGTCCTTTCGGAGACGGACGTTAAACTAGGAGGCCCCGCCTCTTAAATAACCTAATTGTGTTGATAGGGGCATTAAACCCATACCATTTCACCATTTATGTGCTTTTCTTTCAAATAACACATCAGGCAAACAAAGCGAACGCACAGTCATATATCTTCTTCCAACAAGTGTAATCAGTAGCCACAGTGACTGTCTTTTCTTGTATGAGTTTCTTTTTCAGATTACAGGTGTATATGTTCGCACAATTTACCGATTGGTGCAACCTTAAGAATAACCTGCACGTTTTAACGATCGTATAATTGTGCGGCAGGATCGTATAGTTGTACCATTCTTCTAAGCTCTTCCGTATCATATCTTAATTTTAATTTTCATATTTTTACACTTTTGAAAATATACGTGGATGTTCCTTGATGTGAGTAAAAGAATAAAGATGGAAGTGAATTTAAAAAATCATTAAAAAAATTTAAGATAAATTAAATGTGTTTTGTGAACTTTGAGTTTGATACCTGGCATTGCATCATTCTTATGGGCTCTTCAGTTTCATATGTTAATTTTAATTTAAATCTTTTTACTTTTTCACTTGTTAAAATATATGAATGTTCCTTGATGTGAGTAAAAGAATAAAGATGGAAGCGAATTTTTAAATTAATTATTTTAAAAATATGAAATACAGTCAAACCTGTGTAAGACGGCCACCCATTGTCAAGGAGAAAAGTGGCCGTATAAGACAGGTGGCTGTCTTAGGCAGGACTGATCAAGATGAAGAAAACAAACCCCATTCCCAATCGAAAGTAGCCGCATCATTGTTGTTTTTGCTGTTGTTGGTTTGTATTTTGTTTGTTATTTTTATTTTGTTGCTGATTTTGTGCAAGGGTGACAATAAAACTAAATGTGTCAGACAAGGAGGACCGAGTGCTATGGTAAAACAAACATATGTGTCACCACCACTCGAAGAACGAGCGACGCTTCTGTCACAAGTCCATGTTGACGTCCATTGTTACTTTGTTACAGACTGGGTAAACAGTGACCACTCATCTCACTTACGATTTGTGTATGAGTTCTGGGCGGGGCTTATGTGTTATGAGGGATCACACGCTTCCTTCACCAGCAGCTGGAAAATGGTACCTACTGGTCAACAGAGGGAGGGGCCTACGCAACATGATCGGTTGGAGAGACTACCTAACAACAACAACAGGTGATTAGATTATGACGGCTCGCCCACAAAGCCAGGGGCCAATGCACAATTTATGACAAAATGTAATGGAGTCACTAAGGTGGCCGTCTTAGACAGGTGTTACTGCTCAGTGTGATAGGGGTTGTGTGTTAAAATATGGTGGCCGCGGCCGCGTTGGACAGGCGCCCGTTTTACACAGTCAAATTATATAGAAAAAACGCAAGGGGGGAAATGGAAAGTGGCCGTTTGTACAGGTGGCCGTCTTATAGAGGTGGCCGTCAGGGCAGGTTCGACTGTAAATCAAATGTACTTTGTGAACTTTGAGTTTGATACCTGGCATTGTATCATTCTTGTGAGTTCTTCAAAAATATAAAATATTAACGCAATCTTCAATTTTCCGTGCAACTATAAGATCGTTAAAACGCGCAGCGCAATCTTTTGCCCTGATCGCTAAATTGCGAGGAACATAATTATACGAAGACCACAGGGGAAAAAACGACGGTAGTCACAAACTGAAAATCGTGAGGGTACCAATTTTGAACGCTTGTTGATTCATAACTGTATTTCTGTTCAACTGTTGGTTGATTATTTTCCTTAGATTTGCCATTCAGCAACATTTAACAATAAACCAGCAGTCAAACGTATATGAAGTTACGAGTCCACAAGCTTTTAAAATTGGCACCATTACAATTTCCAGTTTGTGACTACCGTCGTTTTTCCACTGTGCTCTTCATATATGTATTTGAAAGAATTGCTGTCCATTGAAAAGGCCACTATTCTTGAAACGTTGATTTAATTCTGATTTTATTATGTGTGAAGTGCCAAGACCCACCACGGCATGGGCGTTACAAAAGTGATCTTCATTATTATTATTATTATTACTATTATTACATCCTTCAGCACTGCAAGACACACACGGCCCTGAAATAGGAAACATGGCCAACCCCACTGACACTACAAGAGAAGCTATACAGGCCGACAAATGAACTGAGCAGGACGGCCCAATTTATGACAGACAGATACCAGACTTCAAGCGTGATGCAATCGAGAAGAAAAAGAAGACTACTATTATTATTATTATTTTAAAACAAACAGAGACCCTACACATCAATCAATGGGGGTGCAAGCAAACCTGAGTTTGGCAATGCATGAGCAGGGACCACATTGGGGAGGCCGATATCTCCAGCTCCGCTGAGAATGCTGCATAGTAAGTCTCTGGTTCAAACTCAACATGTTGTGTCAGCTCTCTCACGTTCAGATTCATGCCTTTAAAGAAATACGAAGAAAAAAAAAAAAAGAAACATAACTAGTTTCTTAAAAGGGTGTAAATAAATAAAAAATGCTATATCATCCTCATCACAACCAAACCTTCAACAGTCATTTCAAGTGAAAACACACAACACACATAAAAACCCATCTGTTTTTCTCAGAGCAAAGTGATACCTCTCTGTGTGTGCGCGCGCACGTGTGTGTGTGTGTGTGTATGTGTGTGTGTGTGTGTGTGTGTGTGTGTGTGTGTGTGTGTGTGTGTGTGTGTGTTTGTGTGTGCGTGTGGAGGGGGGGAAACAGGTGAAGTATCAATCGACGAATGAATATATAGCAATATCAATTACATGAAAACTATAATCTTAGCAAGTCATGGCTGCTCAATCATTACATCTTACATTCCCCAATGCACATCACTGAAGCATAGGCATTATAAACTAAATGAACAACAGGTTGAAAGACAGACAGTATCTCAAAATAAAGAAGTGTACACAAAAAAAAATGGAAATGCAGGGGGGGATCCTCCTATATGCAAACCACAAAACTGGAAAGATAAAAACGGGAGAAACACTTTTCACTATTATTATTTTTATCATTATTATTATTATAATAATCATTATTATTATAATCATTATTATTATGAGGTCAAAGCTCTTACCCTGCATATCAGTGAGCAGATCCAACCACAGCACAATGAGGTCTGGGTCCTGTAAGAATCTGTGTGCGATCTTGCGGTGAGACAACACATTGATCAGGTCACTGACCACAGGCCAGTAGCAGTGATCTTTCATGATCCCATGCTCACAATTCACAACACAATGGAAATTGGATTTCACATCCATACCTGTAAGGAAGGGAGAAAAAAAAAACAACATAATCAAATTGAAATCAGAAAAATTGGTATATTTTAAAGGAAAAAAATTAAAACACTGGCATGTTCTTATTAGGCAGTTAATACTAACTAGACTGTTTACACAAGTCTCTTTCTTTCCTAGAAGTGACAGGGATTTTCAGTGTAGTGAAAACTCAACTATATATAGTTTATCAGAGTCCAGGATACACTCACTCACAGATAAAAATTAGGGATCAAGTACCACAGTAATTCCTCACCAGTATTTCAGTGCTCGTCACCTAAATGTCCAAAACATGCTCTTTGAAATAAAAGTGTTGTCAACAGCACATGCAGGGTATAACTTTGTTCATGGAAGGAACATCAATCGATCTGTCACACCTAGTACCATATTTCTGACCGACAGATTACACTTCATCAGTCATACAAACCTCTTGAGTATCATTATTACAAAGACAGCTTTTTGAAAAATACTAAGTAAACCTTATTATGTACGCGAATTCCCAATAAACAGAAAACCCAATTGAAACTTATAAAATACACTGCAAATCTACCCATAATTCAAAAACTGAAAGAACACAGACACGAATTTGTAGACAAAGCATAATACCCACAGCGCCTAATGTGATGGCTGAATGATGGTAAGATGGACGTCGAAATTCATTTCAGTGTTAGACTACACAACACTAGGATGGCTGACAGAGGCAATCGCCAAAAACTGACATCGGCTTCGAGATACACACCTGGCAATCTTCCACAATAATTTTTTTTAAAAACCTCATTGTGCAAGAACACATAAAACACTTTTCTCAATAGGCCTACACAAAAATCAACCAATTCAATAATATAAATTAATAGACGTTTAACAAGCAAACATCCATTTTCAACACTCATAAAGACCAAAGTTTTCATAAATTTACAAGACTTAAAGGCTCGTACCTTCCAAACAGCTTCCCACTCTGATGCTCTGTATCATGTTGCTCAGACTCAAAATTATAGCTAGCAGGAGACTATAATTTTCTGTCAGCTGGACAGCCAAGTGCTCATTGCTGAACAACTGCACACTGATGTGCACAATGCGATTGGCCACAGTTGTTCTTTCCTTGGCGCTCATAAGAACCATGGAAATGCGAGAGTAATGCTTCACAAAAGCTTTGGAAAAGGCATCCTGTCAAAAATAAGATGTTGAGATCTCATGATCATGCGTCAAGAAAATAAACGAGACATAGATGAAATTATTCAGTGGCATGTTTTGGCATACTCGTTACACAAAAAACAAAATTTTATTAAGAGAAAAAAACCCTTCCCAACCAACCTCCAAAAGAAAAGAGAGTCAAACAGACTGATTTCCATTTATGTAACTGTGCAGATTGTTCATTCAGAACAGTCACCACTACAACGGTACCTTCATTTCAACGACATGAAAAATTTCAGAGAAAGTAGAAACAACTGCAAATAACTACATTTTTACAAGTCTCAATCTTCGTGACCTCTTCCAAAATAGAGTGTACACACAAAGACAGAAAGAAAAAGAAAAGAAAGAAAAAAAAAAAGAAAATACAAAAGCAACAAAAACAGTTCTAACTGTGCCTTCACCTAAACATTTAAAAAGTTTTTTGTTTTTCCACTGTCCCTACATACAATAAGATAATTAAGATAAGACAAGATAAGATAAGATAAGATAAGACAAGACAAGACAGGATAAAACAGGGTCCAAAAAGCCTGCTTCGTTAATTATTTAAATGGTGTTGATGGGAGCGGGGCCTTAAACATGAACAATCAAAACAGAGACACACTGCGAAACATTTTCCCACAAGTCAATTATGGATAGAGTCGACATTTTAACAGTAAACAAAGTTTCAGAGCTAACGTACAACTCTGATAAAACAAAAAAAAAGCATGTAAATGAATACTACTGATCGTACTTTGTACAGGTCGTCAGGCAGCAATCCAAGAAGAAAGGTAACCAGTCGCTGTGGAAACTCAAAGTGGACCACCCAGTACAGCAATTCTTCAATAATGGTGGTGTACTCCAGCTTTTGGCTTAAACCTGGTCGGTCTGGGGGGTGAGATCAACATGGTTGAAATTGAAACACAACTCTGAAAACTCAATGGAAAATCATAGAAAATTTAAATGTCGTTTAGTTTTAGTTGAGTTTTTAACAGCGCTCACAACTGCATAAGGTCATATGAGCGCCAACGGGTGGATGTCAACAGAGAAATCCATACAGGGAATCAGGCTTACTCTGCTCACCTCTCTAGCCTCCAAAGCACAAAGTCTGCTTCGACTATCGAGGCACTTGGAAATAAGGGTCACAAGAGTGTGACAAACATACAAAAGAAGTAGAGGAAAAATGACGATGGTAAGGATTAGGAAAGAAAAAGCAGCAGTTCCCCATTGCAGCTCAGGCACAGTTATGAGCATGACATTTATGAATCAGCCCATTTACAATTCTACTGTGCATAAAAACATGTTAATGTCCCCCTTTAGAGAAAGGCTTAAGGACACTTCAGTTAGTAGCACCGCCCCAAGCGTTTAAAAAAAATATTTCTAGTTATCACCAGTATATACCCCTTGACAGAGGATGCGGTGGCGGAGTGGTTAGTGCGCTCGTCTCTGAAGCGGAAAGTCCGGGTTCGAGCCTCGGTTTGGACACAGATTTTTTTCGCTCCCCTCCTGCTCACCCAGCAGTAATGGGTACCTGACTTCGAGTTCGGGAAGTAAAGGCGGCGTGGAAAGGAACTTGGCCACCCTACCACAATATGCCGAAGGCCCAGGAAGTTGTCTCACTGACAAAGCAATCCCCAATATTTGGATCGGATGCGGGAACAATTTTTATATTTTACCCCTTCACAGTGAATGGGTGCCTTGGAAAGGTGTGACTGTATTTTTCAGAAGGATGAGAAAAATAATCAACAACCCCGATAGATTTGAACCTCTTTCACCAACATAGCCAGGATGACATTATAATAATAATAAGATTTAAGAGAAGATATGATATCTGACAAGCATTTTTCAACATCTATTCAAATTGTTCAAATTAATAATCCAGCCCACTTCTTCAGAAAAAGACTTGATAGATTGGGATCTAAAGCAGAAAGACAACAGAATGAGTCACAAGTATTGAAAAACAACCGCAACACTTTTTTAAGTTACAGACAAGAAAAACATTAATGTCTGCTACAACAGAGCATACATCACCTTTGTATTTTTCAAAATTTGGGGGTGTCTCAAAGAGGGAGTTCCGCCGTTCCAGGAAGGAAGCATAATCACCCAGTTGTTCTCCCTCAAGTGGTGGTTCTAATAAAGATATATAGAAAGTTGAAAGCAGAGTAAATGCACCAGTAGGAGCGTACCTGGACAAGCATGTATGTATAAAATCAACACTCAGGTTCTATTCTATTATTTTCTATTTTTAGAACTGAAGTTTACCCACAACCAGAAAGCTCTGATATTTCCAGCCCCCTCAAACTGGTCAAATGAACGAGCTAGATGCATGTACTAGAAGAAAACTCAAGGTCCACAAACCTAAGAACTCTATGCTATATTTTTGACACACAAAAGCTTAGACTGAAAAATAGAATCTTACGGCTTTTTTAGGATGACCAAGTCAAAAACTAAAAATTCTGTTTATAAAAACCGTCATAGGGCTATTTAAACCAGCTATGCAGTTTGACTGACCCATCTGAAACATTGTTAGATATATGGAAAAGGTGTTGCATACATTCCTGAAACCAAAGATACTCAAGTTACTAAAATTCAGATGAGACAGACTTTAAAACTTTGCCAGCACAAGACTCATATATAGTAAAAACTCTTGCCATCAAAGGCAAAGTCATTTGGGGGAAAATCCTAAGAAACTGGGTGGTAAACATCGCTGATCGGTTAGATGAGGCGGCAAAGGGTTAAAGCAACAATAATATCAACAGGAAGCAGTTGTTAATAAATCAACACATGTATTACCAACAGCCTTTTTGTAGCTTGCTTCATCTGTGAGGGCCTGAGTCATAATCCTCCTCATTGCAGCTCCCATATCACTTAGCGATTGCAGGAAATTCAAATATGGCTCCAGATCACTGATGCTTGGCATATAATGTCTGTAATGGTTTTTGACCATACGAGCTGGAGAAAAGAAGCACTCACTGTGACACACAGCATTTCAAAAATAAACACAAGGGAAACAATAAAAAACACAGGATATTGTATATTGTACACACTGTAATAGAGTTCCATATTATATTATAGTAGAGGGTTTTACGGCGCTCGCAACTGCATAAGGTCATATGAGCGCCAAGGGGTGGGTGTCAACAGAGAAGTCTTTACGGGGAATCAGACTTACTCTGCTCACCTCTCTAGCTTCAACAGCACAAGGTCTGCTTCGACTATCAAGGCACCCCCGGAAATAGCAGGTCACAAGAGAGTGACAAACATACAAAAGAAGTAGAGGAAAATGACAATAGTAAGCATTTGGAAAGAAAAAGCAGAAGTTCCCTGTTGTAGATCAGGCACAGTTAAGAGCATGACATGAATCAGCCCATTTACAATTCTACTGTGCTTGAACGAGAAATGTCCCCCCTTTGGGAATGGACTAAAGACACTACAGTCAGTGGCACTGCCCCAGGGTGTATAGAGCTCTCTTTCAGCAAACACCTCTCAGTTTATGAGAGGCGGAAAACTAGTGGCTATGCCCCTGAACACTGGACTCATAACCGTGAGGTTGTGAGTTCAGGGGTTCGAGGCTCTGGCCCAACATTGTGTCTTTGGGAAAAGCACTTTACATGAACTTTCCTCCCTACACCTATTATGTGTAAACAGGTACACTGCCAAACACAACAAAAGATCTTGTCAGTATGTTAGCGTTTCAGCAACTGCACAATGGCTGCTTGCCCTATATGCTTCCCGGGAAGTTGAGATTGTTTCAGAATGATCAGCTCTGCCGGAGCAATGATTCAGATTATAAAAGACATTGAGTATTTTACACTATATAGATGCTATTTATTATTATTATGAAACACAAACAGTGGTGACAAATTTTCAAAGGCTACGCTTTCCGATTATTTTACCACAGCAATTAAATTCTTATTTAAGTATGAAAATATTTGTGCTAAGTCTACAACTATTTAAATTTGTCTAAATTAATAAGTAATTTACTGACGTTAGTAATACATTAGATACAAAGGACAGAACAACATACAAGTCCAGGAAAATCAACACATGTACCCAAAAAAAGCATGCAATTACAATGCTGCTGCTGCTGCTGCTGCTGCTACCACTGTCATTATTACCATTACTATCATTACTAATACAGTGGTCCTCGCCTTATAGCACATTCCTCCGATGACAAGAAAAGCATGCTCTTACGTGAATGAACTGTTCAGTGAACTTCAAAGGGGATTAATTTACAGTTAGTTTTCCGTCCAATTTTATTGATTGTTGTGAACCAATTCCCATCTGATCTCGTGAAGTGGGTTGTTGTGTCACATAGCTGAGCTCGTCTCGAAACGTGAAGTTTTTCCTTTGCTGAGCCATCACAAAACAACGATCGTCACAATTACAGCATAGCCCTCTCACACTGTCAGGCCATCACTCATGGCTGGGCTGGCTTTCCTCACTGGGCAATTCTATCTCACACCTATCAACTATGTTTTTTTTTCTCCCTGGCAAATCTGTAATTTCAATTTACAAAGGGAGGGCATGTGGTATTTGCTTCGATTCCACCAGTTCTAAGTGAAATTGAAATGAGACATTTTTTTAATGGCCAATCCGTTTCTGACACTAGCAAAGGAACAATCATGCTATTAGACAGAGTTGTCAATTTCAAACATACACTTATGAGTGATAATTAAATAGTAAAAATTTGTTTCCGCACTACCAGAGAAGGGAGGAGGGGGGAAGAGAAGGGAGGATGGGGGGGGGGGGTCATATTTTTACAAAGTGTGCTAATAACCAGAGACCAGAGTATGATTTTATCTTATTCATTATTATTATCATTTTCATCAGCGGTGGTGGAGGAGGAGGAGAATGAAGAAAAGGACTGGGAAAAATAGAAGCACAGTATTATTATTATTATTATAGTTGTCGTTATCACTATCATTATTATTATTTAACAATATTATTATAATTATTATTATTATTACTTATTACTATTATTATCAAACATTAAAAGACCTTGTTAAGTGTAATCTAAAACTGGGGAAAAAAAGGACCTGGTCAAAAAAAGGAGGACCAGTTTCTGAAAACTGCGCAACTCACATGACGTTAGAGTTTTGGAAAAAAATCGTGCATTTTTTCTCATTAAATGTTACCAAAAATGAAAAACTGTGATTTGTTTATCCTCTACCTGGATTGAGCAAGGACCCCAAGAAGTAAGCCAATCTGCCTGTCAACAAAAGCCAGCACAGTTAAATACTGAACAGGAAGTTTTTCTCAATTTCTGAAAGTTAAATACAGTTGAACTTGCTCTAACGGCCACCTGTATATTATAAGACAATCACATACGTACAAATGGCCACTCCAGATCGACGTTGATCCCATTGCTCCAACCCTTAACTTGTCCAAAATTAATAGCTTTCCATGTCTGACTGAGTTCCCCACCAATGTTGTTACGCACCACTGTAACAAGATGGCACCAATTACAATCCAATCTGTCCAACAAATTTGGGCATACAGATAAAAGACAGTTTTCATAGTCAGGAAAGCACAAGCCCCGAGGAGTTCATAGTTCATTCTGATCCCATTTGATGCGGTCTTGCAAATGCTTCCCATCCAGCGTACGATGACGCAAAAGCTTGATGGAGTGCTCAAATTATGCGACGGTGATGCTTGAGAAAAACAAAGGCATTGATGAGTTCCCACCTCAGCATGACCCCCGTCCAGGGCAAACACCGCACCCACTCATTGAGATATTTATAATGGAAATGTGACTGCATTTTCTGAGTATATGATCTGTGACATAATAGACAATGCAATAATTGCAAATTTTCAAAGCTTGGTTGATCAGCTGCACTCATCCTGGTTTTTGTTCTTCTGTAAAATATGATCTTAAATGCGGAATCTAGGCCGAATATTATAATACTTCAGAGCTGGATCTTAGGGGTGACTTTTGTGTAGTAAAAATTCAGTTTTTCTAAATCAAAACAGCAGGAGCTTATTATGCTAACCAGGACCGTAAGCAGTGGGATCTTAGCCAGAGACTACTGTATAAGATTACCACCTGTTAAAGACCCTCTCTTTTCTCCTCAACAAAGGGTGGCCATGTTACATATGTTCGACTGTATATATATATCGATTCTATTTATATCTATTTCGACTGTATATATTGATTCTATTTATATCTATATATCTAGAAGAATGTTGAAACTTAACCAATTACAAAACTTAACATTTTTTTGTTAAATATCTTGTAGCAATACTGCAAATATAAAACAGACTACAAAGCATGAAGAGGATTATCAGTTCAATACTGTTGTGCTCAATCAATCCTCAATACTGTTGTATTCAATCAAACCTCTACAGAATCAACAGAGAGAGCAAAAACAGTTTTGTTCTCTTTCTTCGACAGGTCAAACAATGTGGTTACAGGTTGGGTAATATGGGTTGAGGGGGAGTTGAGGGAAAGTGTTAAAGGAAGAATAGGTTGTGCCTCAGCGATAGGCTAATTAGTTTACAAAGAAGCCACATCTCAGCCAAGTCTAACTACCAATGATGTGAGAAAATCAGAAACTACTTATTCAAAAATTTAGAGGTCTATAAATATAAAAAGGGCCTGGATCTTCGTTCATCCTAGCTTCAAATCACCACTCTTTATTTGTCTTCCAAGTTCCTGCCCATGGTCATGCCTAATTTTATACCCACTTTTTTTTTGCTTTAACTCTCCTTCTCAGTCAACATATCCCTAACAGAAAGCGAGATCACCATCATGACATGCCCTAATATGTCATAATAAACATAAATTGGACTTTACCTGTCTCGAAAGATTCTCATTTCCTTGCTTCACAATTAGTGACTAGAATTAACAAATTCACCTTTTGACAGGAGACTACCAATAGTCAAATGTATTTTTTCTGGAAATCAGAAAAGCATTCATACCCCATGGTGTGAAGGAAAACAAAATGGTTTACTGGTAAAATTCTAAGAATGGATGTTTATTCTAATTCTACCTTGAACAAGTTCGATACTAAGCAAACTATCACAAGGGGAACTGACAGCCTCAATAAGGAGAGCTTTCCGTCACGGGAGTTTTCATTATCATTTGGTCTACAAATGGCAAATTTAGTAGGCATGATCTAGAAGTATTTAGGCTTCTAAAAATTCAAAGTACTGTACCTTAAGGAATAATTAGGGGAAAAATATTTAAATAGGGCATAAAGAATTCCTGCCCATGCAAATGTGAACAACTTTCTCCTGATCACTACACATACAGCAAGACACAGTGCTAAAGGAAGCGTGCCTAGATCTTAAGCATACAACTACAACATACTGTGAGCGATAAATTGTGATCTCAGATAGAACAACAATCTCAAGAAGAGTCTTGGCATCATTTCTTTGGGAACAGCCATCAGTTCTGCTGGCGGTGTTGCCGCAGCTTTGTTGTCATGATTTTCCCCATGTCGTGGGCAGAACCTAAAGGGAAAAAGGTATCGGAACTCAACATTATATATATAAATATATTTTATCATTTGCTACGAGGAAAACAAAATATAACGTTATGTAATTATAAGATATTAATATTGTAAAATAATCGCCGTCAAGGAAACTAATGTAGAAGAAAAGAATGTTTGTTCCGTAACGTTAAGCCCTACTCAACACAAAGAAGGCCCTACTTCCTAAAGATGCCATCTCAAATTTGCCATAAGGACGTTTTTTCTCTTGAGCTCTGCTTTGAGAACCAACAGAGTACCCACATGAGCTTCTTTGGGTAGCTGTGTTGGCTGGATTTACTTAGGAAATACTTGTAATCTGACATAATTTCTAATAAGAAAACAGATCCCTATCACTTTGCTTCATAATATGTTAGAGCAATTAGGTGATATGACCTGTCACTCCTGTCACTAGCCATGGTACTATTCACTTTTAATGAAATAGAGTTAAGATAAATATATATATATACAGTCAAACCTGCCCTGACGGTCACCTTTATAAGACAGCCACCTGTACAAACGGCCACTTTCCATTTCCCCCCTTGCGTTTTTTCTATATAACTGAACTGTGTAAAACGGGCACCTGTCCAACGCGGCCGCGGCCACCATAATTTAACACACAACCCCTATCACACTAAGCAATAACACCTGTCTTAGACGGCCACCTTAGTGACTCCATTACGTTTTGTCACAAATTGTGCATTGGCCCCTGGCGATGTGGGAGAGCAGTCCTAATTCAATCACCTGTTGTTAGGTAGTCCCTCCAACTGATCATGTTGCGTAGGCCCCTCCCACTGTTGACCAATAGCTACCAATTTTCAGCTGCTGGTGAGGTAAGCGCGTGATCGCTCATAACCCATAAGTCCCGCCCAGAACTCATACACAAATCGTAAGTTAGTGGTCACTGTTTACCCAGTCTGTAACAAAGTAACAATATGAACTTGCGACAGAAGCGTCGCTCGTTCTCTGAGTGGTGGCGACCCATGTGCTTGTTTTAACATGGCACTCGGTCTTCCTCGTCTGATACATTTCGTTTTATTGTCACCCTTACGCAAAATCAGCAATAAAATAAAAATTACGAACAAAATACAAACCAACAACAACAATAAAATCAACAACAATGCGGCCACTTTCGATTGAGACCTCAGAATGATGGGAATGGTTTGTTTTCTTCATCTTGATCGGTCCTGCCTAAGACGGCCACCTGCCTTATAAGGCCACTTTTCTCCTTGACAATGGGTGGCCGTCTTACACAGGTTTGACTGTATATATATAAATATTGTCATATTTTAGAGTAAGGTGTTCAGTCTAACCTGCCTTAACGAAAACCTGTATAAAACCGAAACCTGTCTTAACGGAATCTCCCAGCTCCTCCCTTGATATATTCCTCTTTAATTATCTGTATAAAACAAAAACTTGTCCAATGCAGAAACGGAAAGAAAAATCCGCTCCCTTCCGAGGGTTTCACCTATCTAAGACAGAAAATGCTTTGCCTACTCAGCCCTGATTTGAAACAAAACTCGCAAGTTTGATTCCGCAGCTCTAAACCATGGCCATGCCTCTGGGCGAGGAAGGGGAGTAGGGGTGCAATTTGGGGGTACATGTTACCCAATCATGTGAGCCCTGAGCGATGCAGATGGTCAGGGTAGTGTGGGTGTGAAATCTCACGATTGCCCATGAGAGTGCTCAAGTAGGGAGCCACTACAGAAACTTTCCTGGGTAGCCAGAAGCCAGACGTGTGAAATTAAATTGACCAATGCCTGTCGCCCTGATCGTATGGCCTCAAATCGTTGTTACATGATGCCAGTGAGGGGTGGCATTGGTTGACTGTGCCTGTTACACTGGTGGGCGGGTATAAAAGGGTGGGAGCAAAGGAGAGGTTCAAACGTTTCTGTTTTTAATAGGTCAAACAGTGGTCCTATGAAAGGCAAGCACTAGTGGTAATTGGAAAAGTAAGACTGATACATGTCATTATCAAAGAGGATATCAATTGAGAGGTGTGAAGTTTTGACTCCTGCTTGCCGATCAGACATTCTTGATCCCACCAGTTGGGCCTTCCATCTCCCCCTAAATTCCCCTGTCTAAGACGGAATATTTTTTTCTGGCTCCCCTGCGATTCTGTCTTACACAGGTTCGACTGTATTATTATATTTTAGAGTTAAGTCGTAATTTATATAGTCATATTTTAGAGTTAAGTTGTCATATATCGTCACATTTTAGAGTTCAGTTGTCATAGAGTTAAGTTGCCTTGAAGTCCATGCATATACTGCTACATTTCCATTGGAGTCATGGCAATGAACAGGTAGGCCTATTTGAAAGGAAATGGGAACAAAGGAATTTTCAATTGCAGGACAAGGAGACCATGAGTCGTTATCAGTTGAAATAAAAAACTGAACAATGCAGAAAAATAAAAATATATTGAAAAAGTATGATTGCACTGAACAAGTATTTAAAATAAAACCCATTATATTAATCCTCTCATATTCATCACAAAGCTTATGATCACTTTGGAATACTTTCTGGAAATATGATAATGAGAGCAGAGATGCTGTTAATCTGAACTTACCCTTCCGGCTTCATGACGCTGGAATCACCACAATCACAAGCACCTCCAGCTTGACTGCGAAACATGTTGTAGTCATGACCTTCATGGTTTCCCGCTTGGAAACAGTCCGAGCAAATTGACATGCATGGTGATATGCCACAGGTTCGACAGCGGTAGGCAACAAAGTGTGCTGTCCATACCAAACCACACATGACAGAACTGTCATAGTCACTAACTGAAAAACATAAAAAAGGAAAAATTCACATCCCATTCCTTCACTCAGTTTCAAATTTTGCTGTCTAGATATGGTGTTCAGTATGAGAACTGAGTTCAAATCTTATCTTTGAGTGGACCAGTAATGAGGAAAGGAATTGCATGCACACATGACAAAAATTTCTTAAAAACATGTAATACATTGGTTATGTATTTCTTTTGCTTCAAGAAAGCGGTACAGAGTCTATTCCAGACCTATCAACCCCCCATTTCACCTCCTGGCATCCAAATTAGGCTACCTTTCTTCATGAATTCCACCTCTCTAACAAAATATATTGGCCATTGGTTGCTAAAAGTATTGGAACTCACATGGAATATCAAGGCTAGAAACTCACACAACAAAGAGCATCATTCAAATGAAGGAAAAGAATCAACATGGCCTCATTACTTAAAGGAAGTGGTTATTCGCACCGGGTGTGCCCATAAGAATTAATATTATTCACACCGGGTGTGCGCATAAGAATTAATATTATTCGCACCGGGTGTGCGAATAAGAAATAATTATATTCGCACAGGGTCGACCCGACCTGCGCGCTGCGCTTCGAACGCTGTGCTAGATCGCTGCACGAGATTGGTAAATGCTGCGAGAGTCCACGAAACTAGGCGTTCTTGGCCTATATAGATTCTATAATAAGCTTACCTGCGTGGCATTTTCATTTTTCAAAACAGAGCCCTGAGGGAACCTTGCTAGTAGCGTTCTGTTGGCCCCAAGGCTATTGCATCGCAAATCTGAAATTACTCAACACCTGGATCTAGTTCTAGTTTTTCTAGATCTATTCAGCATGGAAGTGGGAGCCAAGTCCAAGAGCTTTTCAGAGTTCACAGAGGCTCTGAAAGAGTGTATGAAAGTACTAATAACACCAAATTTGTGGTAACACGATCCACCAAAATTGGCCAGATCCCTTGAGTGCTGTATACGTGTACCAGTCGATCCGGTTCCAGTGCAAGCAGGAGCAGCGCCACCATTATTGTATTCTTTAAATTAATAAACAATTTTTAAAAAACAAAGATCAAAGGTGCAAATGCACCCTGTACAGGTTCTATCTAAATGTACACATGTGTACATTTTGGTTGACGGCAACTTGAGGGGGGGGGGGGGGGGGGAGGGGGTCCTGGGAAAGATGACAAGAGGGGTGGGGTCATTTGTGAACACGCAGTCCCTAAAAGTAAAACTGCAATCATTTGGCCATAAATAATATGATGTATTACTACAGAGTTACTACATAAAGTTGACTTTGGACCTCATTTGTCACACCCAGATATCCCACCTTTAGTTTTAGGCTAAGGGTTTTAATTTCGGAAAGCACTGGGAACAGACAGGCCCATTAGATGTCTAGTTCTCTTGTTCCCACTATGATCTACATGGGCATGATGATGATGAGTTACTAAATACAGACTATACACATGTATTTTTCTTATGTAATGTAGATCTAGATATTTAAGAGTAGATTCTGGTGTGAATGGAAGAGTTTTTTTTAAAAGAAAGGAATGGTCATTCTATGCTTGCTTCTTATTCATCATGTACATTAGATCTAGATCTAATACGGATTTTGGAGACCACGGTACAGGACAGGTAAAAATCCTTCCCGATTCTCCATTTCTTTTCTAGAATCTAGGCTACGGTTAAGTCAAGTCTTGGCCCAAGTAAGCGAAGAGAAGAAAAAGTCTAAACTGAATTGAGAAGACAGCCTAGCTACAGTACACGTTAGATTAGAAACAAATCTAGATACCTCCACCATGTCTCCCCCTCTTTTCACTTGTCTGGTAAACTTCATCCGCGCCTCTATCGTCTCTCATTAGTCTCATGGTACCTCTTAGGCCTAGCCTAGGCTGGCAATGTGGGTCCACTATAAATTAAAGTTCTTGGGCAGAGCAAACTATAAAATGTTCCTCTTCCACTTTTCTGTTTATTATAATTGATTTGCAAGTGGCAGCCCCCCCCCCCCCCCCCCCCCCCGACTGTCGAATACTACATCTATAAGTAAGTGTCCTAATAACTTAAGTGCAGAAGGTGTGGTCCACCAAAAATCAGCGTACTACGACTAATTCAGAAAACCAGGAACCTGCTGGTCCATCCTCCACTTCTGGTCTCCCTCCGCTGCCTCCCCCTCAAAAGAAAAGGAGCAAAAATAAGCCTACGACATGTAATCAAGAAAATCAGGAACCTGCTGGTCAATCATCCACTTCTGGTCTCCCTCCACTGCCTCCCCCTAAAAAGAAACAGCGGCTGGGATCAAGTAATACTAATTAATATAATTTATAATAGTGAGAACCCTGCACCTGTTCCTGCGGTAAACGTCCCCATCCGATGCCTAGATATTCCGGACTTCGATCTCTTCAATGATTCGGATAATAAAATGCAGGTCTGTTTACAACTTTGTCTCGTCCCCCCTTCTCTCTCTCTAATCTCTCTCTCTCTCGTGGTATTCTCGCAGCCCTCACTCACTCCGCCTCGCGTCGCCGGGAATAACTCAAGTTTTATTCAACAAGTCTCACTCACTCCGCCTCGCGTCGCCGGGAACTAGTTCGCGTAGCGGTCGATAGGACCCATGACTGTACATGTATAGATCTAAGTATAAGTATAAGTCCGTTGTTTGCCTAATGCGCATTAATATAAACACGGCGGGTCCACCAAAGTTCAATCAGAACGTTTACAGTAATACTACTGTAAACCCTATCTGGTTCAATCCAGCCCCTATGATCTTTGTCCTTGCGCAATGAGGGGAAAAATGAGGAAATGGTAGGCCCGGTTTCCATCCTTCTTTTGAAACATCCTGTGCGAAAATAACTTCATAGTATTCGCACACCCTGTGCGAACAAAATTTCATAGTATTCACACACCCTGTGCGAATAAACTACAGTACTACAGCCTTACTTAAATTTACTAAGAGGAAGCCAGTGGTGAGTTGGACTCTCAGATCTGTTGGACTTTCTTTCTTGTGGTACCTGCTTTTATCTAATCTAGTACAACTTGTGGTTCACTTAGTTTTAAGTAAACTTAATCGATTAGAGTAGAATTAGTAGGAGAGTGAAATTAGAGTTAGGGTAAATTTGATTTTTTTTAAACAAGACTTTGAAGACAGTAAAATGTTTCATCCTGTAAAATTCAAAAAGCCTTTCACTTTCAATACTTTAATTGAAATAATAATACTGAAGATGATAAATATAATATAGATCTTGATCTAATCTAAATTTTTCTAGATCTCTAGATTGTTGCCATTCAAATAATAATTTTGAATATCTCATCCTAGAACCTACGACTATGACTTATAAGCTAAACAAGTAAGATGAGAGCAAGTGAGCTAAAAAATAATGGTGTGGAGGAAAAAAACAAGCTGCATTTAGGCCTAACTTAGGTCTACCTTTCTTGCTGAATTCCTCAAATGTTAACCCTCCCGAGATGATCCACTTGCACCAGTCAATTGCCTCCAAGTCATCAATTGCTTTTTGAGGCTCACAGATATTATCAAGGAAATCATTGAGAGGCTTCGAATTATTTCCTTTAGTGCTTTCTCCCTTCAGATAAACTGCTACAGAACGCTTATCTCTTTTCTGGTTTGCTCCTGTGGACCCCAGTGTTCCAACATTACTGTGCCCTGATCCTGCTTTACTACTCCCTGGGCTCTCAAAGGGGTTACCACGGCCAGATCCCCCAGCTGCCATTTCAGACTCGAATAGTGTAAACAAATAACTTCTCTAAATCTAAGACGAGTTCTGGATTCAATCAATCATGTCTACTATCGTTCCAAGGGGTAATATGCATTCTAATTTTAACAGTAAATCTTTCAGTGTCTCAAATCTAAAGCCTCTCCAGAACACTCTCAACAACAGGCTGTCTTTTTCATTGCTCTTGCAGCTCCATTTCTCAGTTCACATTTCATTGCAGAATCCATTTTGTGACATTGTTCATTGCTAGGAACTCCGGATATAATACAGGCAAGGCATGCCAGAGTTTTCAAGCGAGCAGAAAAACCCAACGATAGTTTGTAATCTAGATTAACAACAAACGGACTTCGGGAAAACCGGAAGTCACGCCAGAACATGATTGGCTATCGATCAGATCTTTAGGCCTAGTCGAACAAAACTCTGATCGAATCTGTCTGAAAATCTCTGTAGGCCTAAGACGGAAACCTGTCATAGCGGAACCCTCCACTCCCTCACTTGACCAATTTCTCTATAAATACCTCTATAAAACGGATATCTGCCTAATTGGGTGGAAAGAGAAATCCCTTCCCTTCAGACAGAGGGATTTCAATTACCTGTATCAGAAGAAATATCCATAGGAAACTGCATCTCCCCTCCACGCTCAACGGCAACAGAGGATGAAAAAGTAAAAGTTAAGTAAGTAAGTACGGGAATTATATTATTATTAGTAATGTTTTGCCCGCTCAGCCCTGACTTGAAACAGAACTATTAAGTCTAAGTTTCTGTCAACCGTCTTTGGCCTTTACTGCATGCCGCAAGTCGGGGAAAGGATGTTACTTGAGGGTGGATATCTTTATTATATTATTACCCAAGGCTTTCTTACAATACTCAGATAGCCTCAGATATCTTACTCCATCCATTTGAGCCATGAGCGATGCAATTGGTTAGGCTGGTGTATGTGTGAAATCTCACAAGTGCCTGTGAAAATACTCGAGTGGCGCTCCAGCCCGGAAACTTCCTGGGTAGGCCTACAGTGGCCAGAGGCCAGAATTTAGTTTGACCAATGCCTGCCTCTCTGATGGTACGGCCAGCCGAGAACAGAGTTCCTGGGACCGTTGTTACATGCACGGGAAAGGGGGCATTGGTTGAGCGATGGGAGGGGCTAAGGGTGGAAACAAGGAGATATTATTCAATCGAATCTATTTTAACTGGCCAACAGTGGTCCTATGAGATGCAAGCATGCTGTGCCATGCCATGGTGGCACTAGATACGTTGAACTGACAGATGTCATTATTATCAGAGAGGCTTGGATAACACTTGAGAGGTGTTAGGTTTTGATTTTGACCACTTAATTCTGTCTGACTGGACGAGCGATCCTTGACCCCACCGGCTGGGCCTTTGGCTAGTGTATGTGTGAAATCCAAGGAGATTAAAAGTTCTAAACTCCTTGGTGAAAGCTCACCAGTGCTGGCAAGGAGGTTACAATTTGTTTTAAGCTCATTGAGTGCCTGTGAAAGTA